CGCGCAAATTCACAAGTCCATTAACTGCTCTCTGGGCGTTTCCCGCGCTGCTGATGGCATTTTTATGATTGTTGACAACAAATTGACACGATTTGTAATGGTCTTGTCCAGGTCAGGTCATCAGCCAGAGCAGGCCAGGCGGCACGTGGCCAGCCAAGGACGCATACGTCCGCCTTCACTTCCACCTTGTAATCGGAGGATCGGAGACACGATGGCGGCCAGCGCTGGAGCTAGCAGTTGGTCGGGAAGCAGCGGCGGCAGCAACTCATCCCAGGGAAGATCTATAGCCACCGCCCAGCCAGCGCAGGAGGAGAGATTGGTGGTAAGAATACGTGCCTAAATAATAGATAGTTTGTGCTTTAGATTCAGTTAAAAAAACCTAATAATCATATCATACCGCCAGGTCGCCGTCCGTGTTCGTCCAAGCTTGGAAGCCACTGAACGTTGCATCGAGGTGGTTTCCGGCGGATCGCTACTCTACGATGATGGCGGCAAGAGTCGTCCGCGGCAGTATTCCTACGATCACGTCTTTCGGGAGAATGACACCCAAGAGCAGGTGTACAAGACCACCACGGCGCCGCTGGTCAGGGATGTTCTCAATGGCCTTAATGCAGCCGTATTTGCGTATGGAGCTACGGGATCGGGGAAGACGCACACCATGCTGGGGCCAGTGCCGCGCAAGAAGCCACAAACCGGACCAGATCGGCCACCAGCCACAGCCAGCTGCGAGGCTACGGATGTAAGCAGCCAGGACATTGGTCTGATGGTGCGCGCCATCGAAGATATATTCAGTCACATCGAGTCGGCGGAGGCGGACACAAGTCGGGTGTCCATTTCCTACCTTGAGATATACAACGAGCTGATCCGGGACCTCCTAAACCCTGGCGGGCCGCTGGAGCTAAGAGAGGATCATCGGGGCCAGCGCATTACGGTGGCGGGTCTCTCGGAGATTACCACAGCCAGTCGGAAGGAGGTGGTGAGTCTGCTCATGAAGGGTAACAAGGCGCGCACGATGGAGCCCACGGCCGCCAATCAGACGTCCTCCCGGAGCCACGCCCTGCTGAGTATCACTGTTCAATCTCGGACTCCTCTGGGCACCAAGCAGGGGCGCTTGTTCCTCACCGATCTGGCGGGATCGGAGCGGGCCAAGAAGACAAAGAATCGTGGAAAACGGCTGCAGGAGGGCGCCCACATAAATCGCAGCTTGTTGGCGCTGGGAAACTGCATCAACGCCTTGTCCGGCGGAGCAAGATATGTCAACTACCGGGACTCGAAGCTGACGCGGCTGCTCAAGGAGGCGCTCAGCGGTCGCTGCAAAACCGTGATGATTGCCCACGTTGCGCCAGAGAGCAAGCACCGGGACGAGACCAAAAACACTTTGGTCTATGCGGATCGGGCCAACAGCATCACCACCAAGCTCCAGAACTCCGTGTACATCGACGAGTTCAAGGATTTCCCCACTAAGCACTACCAGAGCCTGGTCTCCGAGCTGCGCGACGAGGTGTCGCGTCTGCGGACCAAGATGCTTACGGAACGTCCTCGCAGTGGAGCAGCTGCAGCAGCAGCAGCGGCGGCCGCAGCGGCTGCAGCATCGGGATCCAGCTCTGCAACGGCTGGACCAGGCGGCGCTGTCCCCGAACATGATGAGCAGCGCAAGACGGAGCTGCGCTATTTACGGGAACAGATCGTGCTCACATTCAAGCAGCAGATGAAGTTGCGTCGCAAGCTCCTGGAGGCCGAGAGCCATCTATTGGGCTTGGAGCTGGACGCCGAGCGACAGCATATGATCATCTCGCACTGGCAGGGACGCATCGGAAAGCTCTACGACGCCATGGGCGAAGATGGTAGCTAATAGTACCTTCCCGTCCTGGAATTTGTATGTATTAAAATGTACTCACCCGCAGATATAGAGTCCGAGGGCTCCGTGGCTTTGAAGAACGCCTGGGGCGAGCTGGCGGCCATTGAGAAGGAGAACCGGCGCTACAAGGAAATCCGCGAGCGGACGGAACAGGAGCTAGAGCAGTGTCGCCAAAAGGGCGTCAAGCTGGAGGATGTGAGTTCACTTTCTGATAAATATTCCGTGGTTTTTATGCTCTTCCATTGTCAGGAGCTGCCGGAAAGGATTAGTAGCGATGAGGAACGCGAACTGCTGGCTTTACTCTGCCGCGTCCATGAACTGGAAGCGGACAAGGTGTCCCTTCAGGCGGAGCGACTGGCCCGCCAGGCGGAACTGCGTAGACGCGACCTCCAGCTGCTCCGGGCTGAGCGACAGCGCCGTCTCTGCGAGGATATTATAAGCTCCCAGCGCCGTTTGATCGAGGAGGGCAACGTGGATTTGCCCGATGAGCTCCGAGAGCTTTACGGGCTGTATCAGCAGGAAATACATGCGGGCGTGGTAACGCCAAGTAGCAGCAACTATGAGAAGAAGCTGCCGCCCATCTACACGGCGGGGTAAATGATTGCCTTCCTTCGAAAAATTATCCTTACATCATTTTGGTTTTAGCTCCGATTCCCCCGGCTCCAGTTCCAGCTCGGAGTGGTCTCCGGCCTCGCCTCTGCCGCCCATTGACAGTCAGGTGGATCCCGTTGATCGTGTGATGGGTCCGCCCGTAAATCCGCGTTTGCCTCGACTGGCCACCGCCGCATCAAATGCATCCGTCCCGGGCGGCACAGGCGGGTCAAGGCGTCCATCACTGCGTGTGGCCAGGAGCAACCATCCGCATCCACATCCACATCCGTAGGAACATGGCCAAGTAGAAGCCAGCGCCGGAAATGTGCTCAGGAATAGTTTTAATTAAGGATTAGGACTACAGGAAGATGAAAGATGGAAGACGGATCTACATTGCTCACATATAAATATTTCTTTTTCGAATGTATCAATAATAAATCGATGACGAGAAATGCTTATAATTAATTCGATTTATTATAAATAAAGCTATTATAATAAATCGAATTAATTATAAAAACTGAAGATGCTTACCAAAGTCATTCCAAGATAGACAGTGAGACGCGCCGAGCTAATTTTATATTCTTATTTTTTTACCAAAACGAAACAAACTTTAATCATATGCTTAGAAACACTCGTAAAAAAACATTTTTTAGCTTGTAAATATCTGAAAGTATCCTTTTTTTAACTTTAAAAGCCACTGAATTTCACCACATGGATCGCTTATCGATAAATACTTTGAACTCACCACTCTTAATGAAAAGAATCAACGATCACGATGTATATCGACGGTTGGCGTGGGCGTCATAAAGTTTTGGGTGAATAATTAAACGCTTCGGATAATGGATCGGACAGTCCTTAAATTAAATCTTGTCAGATTTTTGAAGCAAGAAGATGAATTTATAATATCGCGTATAAGTACAGATCCCAATAAAGATGGAATTTTTTGGTTGTACAATAAAACGGTAATAGTCCTTTTATTTTATTTTTATTTTGGAGTTACAAATTTATTTGCATACAGAAAATCACATCAGAGGACTTGGCGCGGGAGTACACACCAGCAGAAGTGAGGGAGATGTGCGAGCGCACTAAGGTTCGTGTGCAGATGCACAGGTGGAACAGCGTATGGGACGCCAAGAAGCGCTTGGACAAGAAGAACCGCCTAGATAACAAGTCAGAGAGGTGGGTTAACAGAATGTTACTCAAGGCGCATCAAAGGAGTTTGATAAAACCTTATTCAGAGCGCGAGAAGGAGATGTATAAGGAAATCGCCGCCTGCAACACCAAGAAGGCCAATACTGAGCGGCTAAATATCTGGCGCGTGCAGCGTTCAACAGTACGCTGTGTATCGCCCGCTATCACGATTAGTAGCTGTTCGGAGGCGGAAAGTGAGTGTGAAATAACTTCACATTCTTTTACTGAATATCGGGATATAAAAGAAAATTTGACGGGTTTCGAAGAGAATGAAGATTGGGAAGAAGCTGCGTAAATAAACAAATATTGTACAAATTTAAGGCAAAAAGAAAACCATAGTTATTTATTAAGGACCGAAAGATACAATCTTAAAGCGTTGGATTCTGCGATGGCTTCCGCTTTGGGGGCTGCTCTTAGGATGCCGCAGGACCAGCAGGGACCACCAGAGGGGATTGCTGTTGTACTGAGGTGGCGTAAGCACACATTGGAAACGCTAACCAAGTTAGCCATATCCTCTCCATTTTGTTTGCAGTCGTGCCGCGACAAATATATCCACTGGGGATCGATATTTTATTCTCAAAATTTTTATATTTATATAGTAATATTGAGGTTGCGATTTATTTTTTTTTTTATTTAAAATTTTACATCTTACACGTCTATAAAACTATTTTACTTTGTCAAAAACTCGATAAGCTGATAGTCTGGGAATTAATATATCGATAAGTGAAATTGAGATTGACAAGCAGTGGTGTCATTTTTTTCTGAGCAAAAAAACTGGATCACCAAAAAAAGCTAAAAAGGCGGAGTACCAGAGAAAATAATTTAAGAAAAAAACTGATTTTTATAAATCTGTATTTTTTCATGAATTGACCATCCATCCAATATTTAACATAGAATATATAACGTGCAAAAATTAAAAACTATAGTATATTTTTATATATCGTCAATATTATCGGCATCATCAGTTGGACATAAATTCTCATGTTCAATTGAAGATAGGCAGCTGGGTAGTAGAATGTAGTTAAAACAGCACTTATTGTTTCGACACAGCCCATACCTAAAATTAAAAAAAAATTAATTAAAATTAAATTAATTAATAATTACTTTAAAAATAAAAATATAGTTAGTAAAGTTATTGTTAGTATAGCGTTTAACGTTTCAACGCTCATGCTATTTCGAATTTTTGTTTTAATTAAATTAACTTCGCTGAATACCCGCTCGACGCTTGAATTTGCTCAAAAAGCCGGAATTCCCGCCACCCACTGTTTTCATATTTTTCCCGCAATCACACTTTATAAAAATTAAAATCTGACGGGAAAAAGAAAGAATTGGCACCACTGTTGACAAGTCCATCGCTAGCCTTACTGTCATCTCTATCTATTTCTATCTATATCACAGCCTGGGGAAAACTTTATGTTGCTTAAGTTTGTTAAACCGTTTTCAATGACCAATACAGTGCAGGTGAAGGACGAGGTGGGCGATGGCTCCAGCCCGGACGTGATTGTCCTGCCGGATCGTGAGGATGATGTAAGTTTCAATTAAAAACTTGTGCTTAAAGTCCCCAATGCACGCACACACACACACACACACAAACCGACACAAGGGTGGGTGTGGTGCAAGTGCCTTGCCTCATGACGCACAGAAATGTGTTATACCGGGTATGTACCTCCCCTTTTACCACCCACTTGCTCCACCCTGCAGGATATCTGCGAACTGGAGCACTTGCGTAAGCTCTTCATCGGCGGCCTGGCGCCCTACACCACCGAAGAGGGCCTCAAGGTGTTCTACGGACAGTGGGGCAAGGTGGTGGACGTGGTGGTGATGCGTGATGCGGCCACTAAGCGATCACGCGGCTTTGGCTTCATCACATATACAAAGTCCATCTGTGTAGACAAGGCCCAGGAAAATCGCCCGCATGTCATCGATGGCAAGTGAGTACAATTGAAAAATGAAACTCTTAGCGTTAGGAATCATATCATTCGTCTGCAGAACTGTGGAGGCTAAGCGTGCTTTGCCCCGCCCAGAGCGCGAGTCGCGCGAGACGAATATATCCGTGAAGAAGCTGTTTGTGGGTGGTCTGAAGGACAACCATGATGAGGAGTGCCTGCGGGAGTATTTTGTTCAATTCGGCCGTGTAGTCTCCGTCAAGCTGCTGACTGACAAAACCACCGGCAAGCGTCGTGGCTTTGCCTTCGTCGAGTTTGACGACTACGATGCCGTGGACAAGGCCATACGTAAGTAATCCAAATCCAAGTTCAGTTTCACGAGCAATGGTCGAGATGAGATAGCCATCTCTTTATCAGTTGTTCTCTGTTTATTGCAACTTTGTGAAAATCTTCTCTCAATAAACGGATTACGTATTATGTACTCTACTTGCAGTCCAGAAGCAGCATTCCATTAAGTACGTACACGTGGACGTGAAGAAGTCCATCTATAATCTGGAAAAGAAGGACAAGCTACAGCAGGGAGCCTTGGCCAACGGCAACAAGCCGCCACCGCCCAATCAACAGCAGCATCAACAGGCACCGCCGCCACAGCCACAGCACAATGGCAACATGCCAGCCCCCCCTGGCTACCGTCCGCCAGGGCCCCCGCCTCAACTTATGCCCTACCAGCAGCAGCAGCAGCAACCACCACCACCGCCCATGAATGCCCCTCCGCCCAACTACAACTACTGGGGACCGCCTCCAGCGCCCATGCAGTCCTACTACCAGCAACCGCCGCCGCCGCAGATGACCGCCTGGGGACCCTATCCGCCGGCCCAGAATGGCTGGAACGCTCCACCGCCGCCACCACCCGGTGCCCAGCAGTGGCATCCTAGCCAATGGGGTCCGCCGCCAGTGCAACAGGTGCCACCGGCCGGCGTGGTACCACCTTCGATGGATCCCCGTCATGGCGGTCCGCCACCTCCGGCTCCTGGCAACTGGAATATGCAACCAAATGCACCGACTTCGGGTCAGGGAGCACCCCCACCGCAGGGTCCGGCGCCCCACCAGCAGCCACCGCCCCAGCAACAGCCGCAGCAGCCGCCGAACTTTGGCACCGGCTATCAGCAAGCCTATGGAGGCGGGCCGACCAAGCACAACAGCATGAACGCGAATCGCATGAATCCCTATGCTGCAGCGCCTCCTAATCCCTACCGTATGTTGACAATGCCCTACGAATAAGTGTCGCTTATGGCAAATCTTTACTTTAACCCACAGAGCATCCTCAGCAGCAGCCGGCTGCAGCCTATCCGCCGTACAATGCCAGCGCACCTCCGCCCAATGGAAATGTGCCACCATCAACTGGCGCCAAGGCCGTGGGAGTGTCTAATGGCTCGGTGGCCACCGGAGGCAGTGCCAACAGCAAGTACCGTCGCTAGAAAGGGTGAGTAGATGATGAAGGTGCAACCTATGCAAAACCCAATCGTACCCGCCATTAGTCGTTTATAAATGTGGCATAAGCATAAGTAACAGGAATATGTATTGAGAGGAAAAGATCCGATATATACATTGCTCGATATCATATTGGAAATATCGTAAAGTATCCGAAGGTTCAAAAATTTAAAAATCATAATTGTTTATTGTTTGATATTATTGCTTTTAACGATCTTTCATGGCTTAAAACGGCAAATATTCCAATTTAATAATATTGATTAAAGTATGTATCGGACTTTTTCTCAAATGCTGTACCACACCTAATAAGAGATACCCGAATACGTCTTGCCACTACTCATACACCCCCACAGGCTGGAAAGAAATAGATTCCTCGCGTATATTATTAAAAAACAAGTAAAATTAAAGGACTAACAGGTCCACGATATATTGATTCAGTTAAAATTTTTAGTATCATTGTTGAAATCGATTTTTTTCCCAGCTAGTTACAAATTATGCAGTGTACGTCTAAAGACCCGTTAATTTATTTACTAATGTGCAATGTTCTCTTTAATTTAGATGCTCTGAAAGAGATCATGATTCAAGATTAAATAGACTCTTTGATAAGGCTAGGCCAGACTCGCTTAGTTACTAACAGGACACTTGACGAATTGTCTCTCTCTATATCTCTATCCTATCTCTCTATCGTAAGATAACTAACTACGGTGTTTACTGTACAATTAAGCTATACCATTGATAAACCCTACGATCGATCTAAGCTATGCCACAACCACATTTTTAAACCGAACGTATAGGAAGACTGGTATTCCTATTGTCCAGCCTGTTTTTACTTTGGAGATATTTATGTATGTACACTCCGCGGATCGTAGCGTATGCGATAACAATACAAAGCTCTCTTATTATCTCTCTCTGTATGCAAGTCGAAATGAAGAAAAGGCAATTGAAGCAATTAATGAATAGAATGAAAATTACAAAAATGTAGCCTGAGCTTATTGGCCAAAAAAAAAAAAAAAAAAAAAAAATAGAAAACAAAAAAAGAAAAAAGGCATAGCTTAGTAATAGATATACATTATATTATCTGAACCATTTTCAACAAGAGATTCGTCCACAAGCAAAAAAAAAAAGAAAAGAAAAAAAGAAAATATATTAAAATCAAATACACAAATAACACTGAACAGGAGGGCGTCACACGGATGCGTGGCCTTACCTATTAATGGACACAAGAGTTGATATCAAAAACTATTGTCAATTTTCATGTGGAAAGACGGATATATAATCTATAAACTCGACGATTTTGTAACGGTTTCCAAAACAGCAGACACTGACAAAAAAAATGTTCAAGTTTAACCTTTTCATTTTTCACAAACAAATGAAATTATAATATTAAGCTTTCTGATATGTATTCACACACAAACACACAGTTCTAAGTTAAGTCTAGTTCTACTCTCTTTACCTAGATGTACGACCTATTCTCTCTCTTAAGCTTACGTTCCGTAGCGCACGCCAAGCATTATGAATTGAAATTATGAATTAAAAGTGTTTAATTATTTATTATAATGATAATATAAACATAGGGGTGATAAGGAGAGGATCTGTCCACCAATTGCTCTATCGAGAGCTTCTCTATACAACACGCTAATCACACACTTTATATACATATATGCTAACCGAACTATATATCTATATACATATATGAAAATTCGTATTTATTTTAAATAAATAAATAAAAAATGCAACACTATGTATTTGTTTGAAGCGCCGAATTGTAAGTCTCTCAATCGTTGGGTGCAGTCTAAGTAGCGATAAATCTAAACTATTTACCTCAAGATCAAGTTAACTTTATGGTACTTCCTAGGTAACACTCAAGTCATAAAATTTCGATTTAATTTAAACATAACTCTACTATACTCTTAAAGAACCCATCATTCCTTGAGCCAAGCTTTATTCGTAAGGTAAGTTAGTGATGATCTCTCCCTTAGGATATACACATATACATATACACATATTTAGTTTCGATAAGTGCGCTTAAGTACCTGCTTTTTATGTAGCATGCCCCACAACACCTGTTTTGTTATTCAGTTCTTTCTAAATCAAAAAAATGTTTCTTTTCCAAATGAAAAACCCCGAGAAAAACCTGAGAGCTCCGCTGAAGAGACCACACAAGACGAAGACCCACAGTTGGCCCAGTTCCAAAGGTATGTATCGAATCTGCCTTGATTACAATTATATTTTTTTAATAATAAAACAAAAATCTATCAAAATCGAGCCAATCTGTGTTTTCATTCCGAACGAACATGTTGGAACGGCAACATGTTGGAGGCAGATTGGGGGATCGCTCCAGTTTAGCGATCCGTAAACATTCGGAAGCTTTCCCAGAGGCACACCAGTCCGTCGCCATCCGCCAACGCGCTTAGACATTTGACAAGGAATATAATTTTATAAAACCCTACGTACAGTGAGTATATAATAGGAGTGAAACAAAGGATCAAGTGTTTAACTCGCTTTCTTGATAAGTGCACATAAGTTTCGTAAGCAAGTGCTTCCCGTCTAAAATTACTGCAAGCTCAGCCATGTTCCCAAGTTCATTGATCTTCGATTTTGAATTAATTGTTTAAAATTGCCAATCAATTTGCAAGAACTCTTGTGCTATAGTTAACTCTAGTGAGTCCCAAAACAAAATCAGTTCGCTTTTTTGCAAGGCCAACTATGTGTGGAAAGAGTGTCATCATCTGGCTTTTTGCTGTTCCGTAAATTCAACTAAATTGTTCTTTATGGGGGAACCAGACCCACACTCGCCTCCATTCATTGCTCCCTCCCCCGCCTCCAACATAAACATTGCATCTTGGACGCTGCATCACGTCATTGTTTTCTAGATTTGTCGGTATAATTAAACTGCAGCAGCACACAGTATATATACATACGATCCGCTGCGGAATGCACTGGCACTGCAAGCAGCAGCATTCAACTCGGATATTCCTGGAAGTCACAAGATACATTTGCAGTGGATTTAATTTTTTATTCACAAAAGCTACGATTAAGCAAATCTTTGTGCCCCAAAACGGAAGCGAGAGATCCTGATAAGCGGCTTGGGGCCAAGTCAGGCCTGATGATAAGCCAAATGTGTCGTTGTTGAGCAATTAAGTGTACTATATACCATATACTCTATATATACATATGTATATATATATAACATAGAACTAGGGCGACGTCTTGGATTGATTATGAAGGAAGTGTATGAAATAGCTCGGTTTTTGAAACATTAAGGTCAGCTTTAATCGGGGACAGATGAGCTACTACCTAAAAATATACACTCGGACTTGGGGTACATACAGAATTTTGCACTAAAGATGAAGATGATGATGATTTCATGAACGAATCTCGGCGAGTAGCTTTTGAACTGGGCAACACATGTGTTCAACATGCCTGACGGAAAATCTGGAACTTTTCTATGCGGTTGGAAACATGTAAAGCAAACATTTAACATTCCGGGAATTTCTTCCTTTTATCTTATTTACATACCCAGGAGTATAGTCTAATTGATATATATATTTAATATACCAGAAATGTATCCATTTTATTCAAAATTCAAATTCTTTTTAAGTCGGAAATAGGTAGTAAACAATGAGTTCGCTTTGTCTTGCTTCCCCTGGGATTGCCACAGATCCATAAATTAATTTCCTCTACGTAAAATGTGCATGCATATATTCGCAGTGACCTTTTGAACCCTGTAACGGCAAGACTTTCTTTCGGCTTCTTCAATTGTGTGCACAATGGGATAAAGGCACCGGTTACCTTACAAAGGCTCAACGTGATGTAAAAACCACCCCATAAGGGTGAGTTACACGACCGTTACGTTTCCTTGGGCAGAGTACAGTAACGTTGAGAAATACTTATTACGTCGCCTTCTTGAAACGGAAGTTGGACAAGGCCAAAGCTAATCTCAGGGCGGCTTGGATTTCCCCATTTCACCATGATTTTTGTGTGACCTTTATACAGATTTGGGTCGCTGGTTTAAATTGCTGATAGGAACAGTGGAGATTTCAAAACAATCTTTACAAAGATGGGAAAAGTTGTTATATTTTAAACATTTTCAGTTGACATTGTATTATGCGCTCCCTTTGGCTGCTGCTCGGCCTGGCACTGCTGGCCCTGAGCCAGGTCCAGGCCTCCGAGGAGGACTCTTTGGGTGACTTGGACGATCTCGATCTGACCGATATGGATGAGAACGATGAGGAGTTCCTGCGGCTCCTGGAGGACAAGGCGAAGGTGGGTTTGCCTTCAGCTTAATGAATCAAACATAGCTTTAAAATCCTCTTCCCAGGCCAAGGATGTGCAACGGGAGAACGAGATTGCCAGCCAACTGGCCGAGGTTCAGCACAATCTTCTCAATCCCGTCGTGGAGGTGGATCTCTGCGAGACGATCCCCTGCGGCGCGGGCCGCATCTGCCAGATTCACGACGAGAAGCCCGAGTGCGTGTGCATCCCGGAATGTCCGGATGAGATCGATACCCGTCGCCATGTCTGCACCAACACCAATGAAACCTGGCCATCGGATTGCTCCGTGTATCAGCAGCGCTGCTGGTGCGACAGCCGTGACGAGCGCTGCGCCAACCTGGACAATGCCCACATGCACATCGACTATTATGGAGCCTGCCACGAGCCAAGGACCTGCGACGGCGAGGATCTAAAGGACTTCCCCAGGCGCATGCGCGACTGGCTCTTCAACGTGATGCGGGACCTGGCCGAGCGTGACGAGCTGACCGAGCACTACATGCAGATGCAGCTGGAGGCGGAGACGAACCACTCGCGCCGCTGGTCGAATGCCGCAGTGTGGAAATGGTGCGACCTGGACGGCGACACCGATCGCTCAGTCTCCCGCCACGAACTGTTCCCCATCCGGGCTCCGCTCGTCAGCCTGGAACACTGCATTGCCCCCTTCCTGGAGTCGTGCGACTCCAACAATGACCATCGCATTACCCTGGTTGAGTGGGGCGCCTGCCTGGAGCTGGATGCCGATGACCTCATAGAGCAATGCGACGACGTCAAGCGGGCCAAGCCGCATATGTTGGGCTAATCCCCCAAAAATGCTTCCCTACTTTTGTAGAATGCCATAAGCACTAACCACTTGTGTTTCCTTAATCCAAAAATGTCTACTTTTGCACGACTTTATTCTAAGAGCTTTGTGTTTAATGAAAATAAACAAAGGTAAATAATACTTTCAAGGGTCAACATAGACTTGGTTTTTCTTAGGTTCATTCAGGGGATTTAAAGTAAATCTTCAAGAAATTATTTTTAAAAAAATTGTAAACTGTAAACGGTAAAAATCTTGGCAAAATGTTACAAATAAACAGAATTGGCGTTTTTATTTTAATTTTTATTAAATTTATTCGTGTAATTTTTTGCTCTAAATTTAGTTTTCGTTTTTGTTTTTGTTTCATACTAAACCTCGCCGTGAATGCGTGCGGGCGTAAATACGTTTTGTGTTTTTTTTTTGTTTTTGTTTGTATGTTTATATGCTTGTGAGTGTTGGGCAGATGCTAGAATTACATATTTATGTATTACGTTGTATATAAGAAGTGTGTGCTTGCGCACAGAAATGATTACAACTCGTCGGTTTGTTAGCTTGTCTCTGCTGAAATCTGAATTTAAAATTACTTTCAAAAAAGGTGCGGACTGGGCTGGCCTAGTAGGCCTGCGACAGAATGACGTTGCCCTTTCGCTGCGGATCCTGCACTGTGTCCTCTTTCTTGCCGATCAGCGACTTGTGTATGTGCGGAATGACACCGCCGCCGGCAATAGTTGCCTTGATCAGGCTGTCCAGCTCCTCGTCTCCGCGAATGGCGAGCTGTAAGTGGCGCGGCGTGATACGTTTCACTTTAAGATCCTTTGATGCGTTGCCTGCCAACTCCAGAACCTGAAAGGCGGTAAGAATTGTTTTATTAGGTGGAATAATTTTTTACATTTCAAATATATTACAAATGTATGATCAATTTTCCAAGATCTTAGATTACTGTTTTCAAGCACAAATGCTAAAATGGCATTCCGCTTTCTCCGAAAAAGATTCCATTTCTTCTTCACACGACTTCTTGGAAAAGTACCGCTTTGCGGAAAACAGAAGGCGGGAATACAACGCTCCACAAACACTCACCTCGGCGGTCAAATATTCCAATATGGCAGCGGAGTAGACGGCTGCCGTGGCTCCGACACGTCCGTGGGATGTGGTGCGACTCTTCAGGTGGCGGTGGATACGACCCACGGGGAACTTAATTGCAAATAGGAGGAAAAACACAAAGAACATTAATTACCGGCCGACTTGTTTATGTTTTGCCACCCCCGAAACAGGGCATCGCTCACAGCAACAAAGCGGCACCCTGTTTGTGGTGGAATATGCTCAGGGCGAGGTGAGAACGGAAAAGGCGCCAAAAGTACAGACAACAACAGCAGCGGCAGTGCCGAATCACGAACCACTCACCTGGAGACCCGCGCGCGCCGATCGCGATACCGCCTTCGCCTTGGCCTTTCCGGAATCCTTGCCTGCTTTGCCGCCAGCCTGTCGAGGGGAAAGAACACACACACTCTGAGTATAAATCGAAAACACAAGCCAGCCAAACACAAAATGGAGGCTCCGCGGCCGTCTTTCCAATTGTGAGGTTAGGCCCGATCGCCTCCGCAGCAATAACAAATGCCCGCTCTTTTGCCGCCGAGCCCACAGCGCACGGGAGGAGCGCGGGACAACGAATCGCACAGTTTTCGCGCTACGTGGTGGCCACCGCCGGCGGCCTGCATCAATATTTGATTCGCGGGGGGCACGCGCAATACGAACAGAGGCTGCTAATGCTGCAGAAGCGACGTGCGCTGCCGCTCAAATATCGCAGTTCCCCAATTACCATTTCAGTTCAATCGATTTTTCTGCTGTTTGCTAGATGCGCTTGCGAAAATGCTCTAGGCACTGGGGTTTCTGCCGCGATGGGAATGATTGCGACCACGGAATCGAAGCGTAATTTGGTTGTTTTCCTGCGAATTATTCTCCTCGTAGGGAACGCGTCTGTTCGGCACTTGAAAATTTTTGTTAATGTGGTAGTGCTGGCCAACAGTGTTGCCAGATGAATGATGATGACTTTGAGCCTAAAAAATCCCGAGCTTTTCAAATTTCCCCCTAAAAAATCCAGTTTAAGCTTAGTTAGGGATGTGATATCGGTAAATAAGTATTCTACAAAAAACTATCGCCAACATTTATTTTGCCTAAAATATGTATATTTAAGGGAACATTTAGTTTCTTCCATTCAGGACATGGTAATTTTTATCAACATTTTGCAACGCAGTGAAGAGTCCATTCCGACCCCTATAATAACAAGTATTTTTAATCATCATCAGAAAAATAAAAAACAAATTATGTTTAAACTGTTATATTGCCATCAATATTTATATATACAAAAACATTTGGACAACTAAATGAAGAACTAATTAGAAACAATTTATTTTATGTTTCTTTATCCGTATCTGTAAAAGTACCATCTCTAGGAGCGGCCAGTGTGGCCGTTCGTTGTGATTGAAGAGTTAAATAAACTTTATTTATTTTTTGTTTCCGGAAAATACACGCAAAAAATATATAAAAAATTTAAGTAGAAGGTCGGAGGTCGTCTACAAAGAAATAGAAAGTTCAGCCCGATTGGGGTCTCACACAAACAAATCGTGCCATTTATGCTGACAACCCTGCTGCCGACGCTTCCCTTTCCGTGGCAACCCTGCGCGCCCTTGTTTGTGGCGGCATTTCGATCGGAATTGGCAAACACACTTTGAGAAGCCAACAGTTGTCCATAGAAAATGCCGCGTGTAGCCAAACCGAAGATTGCTGCCGGCCCAGCGCCGGTGAAGAAGGTGGCGCCCGTCAAAAAGGCCAAGAAGAATATGTACAACATGCCGGAGAAGGTGCCGGAGGGCACTGTCTTCACCGATTTGGCCAAGGTGCAGTGGCGGATTGGTCCCTCCATCGGCGTGGGCGGCTTCGGCGAGATCTACGCTGCCTGCAAGGTGGGAGAGAAGAACTTCGATGCTGTTGTGAAATGCGTGAGTTGGGCTGAAAGTAGGTTCGCAAGAGATTTGTGCTAAAAACTTTCATTTCAGGAGCCCCATGGCAATGGGCCGCTGTTTGTAGAAATGCACTTCTACCTTCGCAATGCCAAGCTAGACGACCTAAAGCAGTTTAAGCAGAAGAACGGCTTCAAGTCTCTGGGCATGCCGTATATCCTGGGCAACGGATCGACGGATGTGAATGGCCAGAAGCATCGCTTCATTGTGATGCCACGCTACGGCAGCGACATCGGCAAGTTCTTTGAGGCGAACGGAAAGCGCCTGCCCGAGGGCACAGTCTATCGACTGGCTATCCAGATGCTGAACGTCTATCAGTTTGTGCACGGCACCGGCTATATCCATGCTGATCTTAAAGCTGCGAACATACTGCTGGGCCTGGGCAAAGGCGGAGGCGCACAGGCCTACTTGGTTGACTTTGGCCTGGCATCCCACTATACTTCGGGAGAGTTCAAGCCAGATCCCAAGAAAATGCACAATGGAACGATTGAGTACACATCGCGAGACGCCCATATGGGCGTAGCCACCAGAAGATCCGATCTAGAGATACTCGGATATAACCTTATAACATGGATGGGTGTCGAGTTGCCCTGGGAGACACAAAAACTCTTGGACGTTCCACAGAAAGTGCAAAAGGCCAAGGAGGCATTCATGGATGACATTGGCAACAGTCTCAAGTCGCTATTTCCCAAGGGAGTACCGGCTGCTATTGATGATTTCATGAAGTACGTTGCCAAATTGTCGTACAACCAGGACCCGGAATATGAAAAGTGCCGTCTAATGTTTCAGAAGGCTCTTAAGCAGATTGGAGTACCTAATAGTGGGGATCTTGACTTTAAGATGACGCCGCAGACCAGCAGCAACAATAATATCAGTCCGCCGGTTACTAGCAAGGCAGCAGCAGGAACCGCCAGGAGAGCCAAGAAGGTGGAATCTCCTATGGTAAATTCATCCATCGATGAAATAATCTCCGCCAGCGATGAAGAGGAGGAGGAGAAGAAGAAGCCCATTAAGAAGGCGGCGGTGAAGGCTTCGCCTACAGCTCGCAGAGTCGCCATGAAGGCTTCGCCCGCAGCTCGGAGTGCAGCCATAAAGACCTCACCCGCCCCTCGGAGTGCAGCCCTAGAGTTTCCCAAAAAACGTGAGGGTCCTACAACGCCCAAGCAAAAGCGTGTAAAGACTGAGTCCAATTTGACGCCGAAGACCAGGGGCAGTCCCAAAGCCAGCCCTAAGCAAGAAACGCCCTCGGCAGCCCTGCCTAAGACGCCAAAGCCTCACACTCCCGGTGCCAGCGCCAAGATCAATTTCAGTCCGGCGATTTCGGTACGCGGGCGGCCCGGGGGAAAGACTGTGGTCAACGATGATCTGACTCCGAATCCACGCTCCAACAAGACCTACGAATTCAACTTTGAGCTGGACGTGAGCATGGACGCCAATGTCATAGTGAACGTAAAGCGCAAAAGGAAGGCCGCCAAAGATCAGGCGGCGGCTACTTCAGAATCTAGGACTCCTTCCTTACGTAGCATAGCCAATTCGAAGGAGGAGGGCGGTACACCCGTCACTCGTGTTAATTTTCGCAAGGTAAATGGACACGCCGGCGTTGCCGATGATGCCTCATCTCCCGGTAAGAGTCCTCGCACACCAACCGTCACCCTGCGCAAATACCAGCGTTAGGTTATTGTTTTTTTCTATTTTTGTAAGTTAAGTGCTTTGGATTAATAAATTCGTAATATTATTTCCCAAATTTTACACTTTAATTTAATTAATCTGTTTACTTAAATTTAACTTAATCCTAAAAATTCAACAAAATAATGGTCACTGCTTCGACCTGCGCTTGCTGGTGCTGCTGCCACTTTCGTGGTGCTTGGAGGAGCTGCCCTTCGAGCTGGACTTTGCGCTTGAGCCGCTGCGCCGTGATGAGGATGTGACATTGCTGCTGCTGTGCTTCTCCAGCCCCCCAATGGCACTCAGCGATGGCGCCCCTGACGACTTGCTCGAGCGCTCTTCCTTGTGTGATTTGGACGACGACGAAGATGAAGATTTGTGACCGTGTTTGCTGCTGCTACTGCTACTGGCATTTGTGGAGCTGCTGGGTTCGGGCCTATAGAAGGGCGATGACGAGTTGGATGAGTTCGATGAGCGCGAGGAGGCCACCGAGGACTTGGCTTTGCTGCTGCTCAGCGGCATTGGCTCGTCGGCTATAAATACGGTGGGCGTCACTGTCGTCGCAGCGGAGGAGGCTGTCCGACTGCTACTCGTGGGTTTGTTGCAGCACGTATCGCATTGCCAGGTCTGCTCCTGGTCGTCAGCTGCCTCCTCCTTCGTAATGGGCGGCTTGTGGCACTCCTGGTGGTACATGGCTCCGCATTTGGAGCACTCTATCAACCGATTGGTGGCCGTGAAAACCATCTCGCCGCACACGCAGCAGTTGAGATCGCCAAAGTCTCCAGTGTCGCCCGTATTCACTATGCCCACGGCACTCAGGCCGTCATCCGAATCGGCAATGGTATCCACTGAATCGGAGGGCTCCTTGTCCGGCGAATTGGTCAGATTGATGATCTCGTCCACATTGATGGGCTGCGGTGGCGTGGCAGCCCGGCCCGGAAAGCTGGCTTCGTCCTCAACCAAGCGCTGGGTCATGCTGTTGGTCAGACTCTTCTCCGGACCGTATCGCGTCTTCAGAGCCTCGTCGAAAAGGAGGCGCAGCTCGGCGGCGGAGGTGGGATTGCTCGAGTGCAGCAGCTTGATGGCCTTTTTCAACACGGGGTCCACTTCCTGCGCGGCGGCAGCCGCGGCAGCTATGTTGGCGGCCATCTAACCGGCAAATTTCTTCCGCGAAATAATAAATAATTCAAAATTTATTAATTTTTTCCCAAAAAAAGCGGCCCCAGAAATACACTATCGATAGCACGATAACACTGGTCAGCTGCAGTGGTGTCATTTCCGCTTTTTTCCCGTCAGATTTGGATTATTTTTGACGTGATAGCGGAAAAATATGAAAACAGCGGATAGCGGGAATTCTGGCTTTTTTAGCAAATTTAAGAAAATAATAATAATAACAAAATAATTTTGGTATATTTTATGTTAAGTATTGAACGGAGGGTTGATTAATGAAAAACATTCAGCACATTTCTTTATAATAATAAGTTTTTTTTTTCTTAAATTATTTTCTTTGGTACTCCGCCTTTCTTAGCTTTTCTTTCCTTGATCCAGCTATTTTTGCTCGGAAAAAATGACACCACTGACGATAACACTGGTCAGCTGTTGCTTACTTTACCGTTGTTCTTGTTGTTTCTTTTTTTGGCCAGGTAATTAGCCGCAAAAATAATAATATTATTAATGAAAGTGCGGTGATTATTGTTTTCGTTTGGCGTTTAGCCTGTTGTGTAACTAGGCCCCAAGATACTGTTGCTGCTCCGTTCCTCCTGGCCAGAAGAAGAGGGGGCGGTTGAAAAATCGAAGCGAGAGAGCCATTGGAAAAAGCAATAACAAACTGCAACAACGCACTTGGGGCTCTCTCTCAAAATAAACAGTTTGCCTCTGATAAGGACAATAAAAGTGCTTTGTGTGCGAAAAAGTGCTAATCTTAAGGGGGAGTTAGTAATACACAAACTCTGCCTTCGGACTATTCAATCATTCTTTGTGCTTCTGCAGAACCTGCAGGTGACAAAATGCGCTGCAGCGGAGAAAAGGATACCCCGGCGACTGCAAGTCGCGGATACAAACACCGGGTGAGATCATCTTTTCCCTTTATCGTACATTGAATTTCTAGAAATTCCTTGTTATTTATTGTCTTTGCAGTGGCTGGCTTGCCTCTCTTTGTTGGTGTGTTTATGCTGCCGCGGGAGCTATGCCGCTGACGCAGTTGATCAGCTGGTAAGTGGGCGGTCGGTGGGCGGTGGGCAGTGGGCTGTGGGTGGCGTAGGGCCAATGTGGGGCGCTGGGCGGCTCGGAGGCGCCGCTTGTTTGTTTTCGTTTCGTGTTTGGCGCTGCGCACTTGTTGCCATTTTGGCCAAGACCCTGTTATTGGGATTCCAAGTGCATGTTTCCCACCCACACACAAACGCACGCACAAGCGGTTATCGGTTTCAGTCTTTGTTGGACGAAATCAATCAGCCAAGTTATAAGGAGATAAGAACCACAAAAGTCTTCAGCTTTGACAAATATATAGAACATGTTTTTCACAAAGAAACAAATGATTTTCTGGGGGTTTTAAATCTGGCATATTTTAAATTAAAAGCTTTCCTTTTTCTTCTTTAGAAATTTTCCACTCAGGAATGCAAAATTAAGGAACCCATATATGGCAGTACCTTTGACTTTAGTGGCCTCCGCTCGGATCTGGGTCATGTTGTGGAAAGTCCCAGAATTCCCGGAGATAAATTCGAGTTTAATATATGCGGAAATCTTTCGCGAACCTGTAATGGTGAGAGCAATGTGGCAGCCTGCCTTAAGAAACAGGGCAAGGAGTACATTCTAGGTGAGTTTCAAAACAAATTAAAGAAATATTCTTCGAAACCTTACCTGTTGTTATCTCGATTAGGTCGCCAACATGAGCTTTTCTACAGGAATGGCAAGATGTATCTGGAGTACAAGAGCGGCGTCAAGTGTGAAAATGGCACAGCCGACAAACCCAACTATCAGCTTCATGTAATGCTAAGCTGCGACTACACCATAGATGTCCAGCCCATGCATGTTACGTCCTATGTAAGGTCTTGGATTAGATTATGTGGCTTCATCAATGATAATCCTTTAAACCTTTACAGTCTGACGACGCCTGCTCCTTCTACATTTCCTATGAGACCCCGCTGGCCTGCCTTCGCATTCCCGATGCCCTTCAATCGAATAGTTGCAGCGTACGGGATAACAAGTCGAATGGAACCTTTGATTTGATGCCTCTGAGTGATAGTAACTATCGCACCAGCAATCGTCAGGACGCTGTTTTTGTGATCAATGTCTGTAAGCCTGTTCTCTATGGTGAAAACAGCATGTGTCCTCCAGGCAGCAGCGTATGTCTGTTCAATCCTAAAGCCAAGGACCTAAAGCAGCGGTGAGTCTTGGTTGGATATTGTTAGAGCACTTTAGAAATGCTTCTTTCCATAGTTTCATCAATTTCGGAAATGTACAGTCGCGTCCAGTGGTCGAAAACGGGCAGCTTCTGCTCCGGCATGAGTCACCAACGCCCTGCGCGAAGAATTCTAGCGTTAACTATACCAGTGTCATATACTTCAGCTGTGACAAGTTTATACGCGTGAGTAGTATCTGTTATCTTGTTAAGCAACTCCTAAAAACTATCCCGTTTCTATCTATAATATCCCGAAATTCTTTTGCAGAATGCCCATCCCGAGTACGCAGGCCTCGGAGCGGACTCCTGCACCTACCAGTTCAACTTTGTCACGCCGCTGGCCTGCAATGATCTCAAACCCTGTACGGCTTTCACGGCCACAAATGAGCTGTGAGTGCTGCCCCTCGTTTAGCGTAATGACTCCACTCTAAGCCCACACCCACTCTCCTCCTCTCAACAGATTGGATCTCAGTCCGCTGAGCTCGAAGCCAGACCGCACTTTGATTAAGGATGGCAGAAACTATACAATTGCAGTGTGCGCCCACGCTGGGAGCCCCTGCCAGGAAAATGGCGGTAAGTCGGCCATTTGCGGCCTCGGATATTAATACAAGTTTTTAAGTGCCGACGCGAAACTTATTTGCCGTAAAAGAGTCGTAATTAAAGAGCTTCCATGCAGGGAAGTCGTAACCAGGCAAAGCTTTAAACCCTTTTTTGACTCGGCAACTCCAGTTAAGCGGGATTAGTGATTTTTTATTGCTCTTCCGCTCGAGTGGCACTCATAGCCATAATCGTCTTGGTAACCGGAGGAAAATGCAAAAAAAAATAAGGGATGGGTCCGGTCAAGTGTTGACCATTTCATCCGGTTTCCATTAAATCGCACACGAGTGGCTATTTGTAGGTCCCCTCAACGTATGTCCATAAATATGAACGCACACTCGTGTGGGTTAGTGTGTGTGTGCTAAAGCCTGGGTATGATGATAATGATTTAGATCTGTGATGTGGTCCGTCATATATTTACATAATTTACGAGTTTGCCTGTGTATATATGCAGGCAGGCAGGCTAGGTGGTTAGACCATTAGCCGGGGTCGCCTTCCGCCTCATCCATCCGTTCGCTCCACGGGAAAATTCAATTTACATTTTTTTTCAACGTCAATAATAAGCAGAATGAACGTTTTTGGCGGCTCTAAAATGCTCTATTTAAATTTGGTTTTATACCTGCTATTCTGTTGGGTGAGAAATTTAAATGAGAGGCTTTAAAATATGTATTTTAATGTTGGTTTAGAGTTATGCCTTCAATTTTAATTATTGGAGATAGTATTCATCAGTAAATATACCCTTCCCTTAGACCTTTACCAGAGTATTCTATCATTGCAAACATTCTGGTTTACCCTTCCAGTTCATAATCTTATGCTATATAGCATATAATGCCTGCACATCGGCAGCTTTGATATTTTTCCTATTTATTTACTTTGTATGCGCTGCATCAACATCAACAAATGGGGGACATGGGGCTCTCTTTCGCCGTGGCAAATAACAACTTTTGCCGATGTGGGCTGTTGGCATGCGAAACGTGTCTGGTATCCATGGAGTTCAGCTCACGCAGCGCGGCTCTTTGTGTGTCTGTGTATCTGGGTGTGCCTTTTGGGGTGTCCTGCATTCGCAGTTGACTGCAGACGCATATCCGTTTGCGCGTCCTTTTCGGTTGGCTGGCTCTCTCTCTCGCTCGCGGGGTGGAGATATCATGACCCCACTGCTGGGCCTAAACAAATAAATAAGTGTGTGCTCCCTTTTGGCAAGCTGATGTCCAGGCCATGAGGCTGGGACCTACATGAAATTTTCATTTGTTAGGCAAATAGCAGACGCACACACACGCACACACACGCACACACACACGCGAGCGCGGAATTGGGGCGTAGGACATGGCAGGGACTTTTGTAAACAAGCTGGCGCTCACATGCACACAGAGAAATAATTGCTTATACATATAGTGGGGGTTAATTTGATGTTATATTTAATATTTATGTTATATATAATATATATTATATAATATATAGTATTTATTAAACTTTATCCTATTTATACGAGTTATAACCCCTATGTAACCCCTGTATGTAAACAAGTTTAGAACGCTCAACAGTATTGTTACCATACAATTTACTCGAAATCGTTAAGTTTAATTAAACCAGAACTTTAATTAAAGAATACTGAGGTTGTGTAGACCTCTTATATCTAACCTGGTTCTATATTTTTCTCTCTGTGCATCCAAACAGCGCTGCCGCTGGTCGGTATTTGGCGCCCAGCTGACACTGGCAGACGGCATATTGCTGCCGCCCGGCCAATCCCCCAATATTCAGCTACGCCACCGTGCGGGGCATTAAAATCTCCTGGTTTACATAGTTGAATTCAATATTTGAAGGCATTTGGCAGTGGCCTGGCCCTGTGCCTGGTCCTGGCCCCTTTGGCCTGCGAGTGAGTTATGGCCGCGCCCCCTACTTGCACGCCCCCAAAACAGGACCCATAAAATCCCGCCTTCTACTGCTGCCGTTAATTGCTTATGCAGCATGCGTTGCCCTGTCATTTTGTGTAATTTTCATTTGCGTTTTTGTTCTGCATTTTATATTTATTTATGGCGAGCCGTTGCAAATTGCATTTTTTGTGGGGAGGCAGCTGTGGGAATTTCAGCTATGCATATGATGATGCAGGCTTCATTTAATTGCTGCTTGTCAACATAATTGTCTAAGCAAATTGAGTTCTTGCTTGCAAAGTTTTAGAGAATTATATTTGGCATCGCAGCGTACAGGAAACTTTATTAACAAATTTTGTATTTAAGTTTTAAATCGAAAGGAAACTAGCTCCCGGAAGCCGAAGTTTATATATCCCTGCAAAACTATAGAAACATAGAACTATGAAAGCATAGAACTGTAGAAGTATAGAACTAGACAATTTTGTTGACAAATCAAAGTTTAAAAACTTATAACTAAGCCGAAAATGCATTAATTTTAGTTCGGAAAGCGTTCCTATTTTTATTTTTGTTAGGATAATAAATCTGCATACTAAATATCATATTTAAAAAAAAAATGATTTTTTTGTTCAATTTTTGACAATATTAACCCTTTATAAAATTTTGAAAAAATCTTAAAAAAAATATTTTCTTCAAAACTCGGAAAGATCGTCTCGCCTGTTGATTCTGATTAAGAATACATATGATACATAGGGTCGGAAATGACTCCTTCATTTAAAAAATATAAAAAATATGTCCATTATAGGGAGTTTAGATAAAAATTTTAGTATATTGTTTTTGGAGGGAAATCACTCCTTTTCAAATATCATAACTAAGCCAAAAATGCATTGATTTAAATTAGGAAAGAATTGCTCTGTTAGTTTTTTTTAGATTAATAAATCTGTATACTTAATTTAACATTTTAAAATATAAAATTGTTTTTTAAATTTTTGAAAATTTTTACGATGTAACCCCTTATAAAATTTTGAAAAAAAAACAAAATTTCTCCCGAATATGGCTAGATCGACTCGGCTGTTGATGCCGATCAAGAATATATAATATATGATTTATAGGGTCGGAAATGACTCCTTCACACGTGACAAGCTTTTGAGTCAAATTATAATACTCTTTTTTATCTAATAAAGTGCAAAATACCATTTAATTAAAGCACAAATTAAGCATGTCCCTAATTTGTAAGAGTAACTCGTTGTTTTTAAACAACTTTATGCTTTATTTAAAACTTAAATTAAAAATTTAATTATATGCTTTGTAGTAGTCCCAAAGGAAAATTACGTATACGCACTGGTGTAAATGGTATTTTATCATAACTAAGCCAAATAAGCATAAATTTCAATTCGGAAAGATTTTAAAGACAAGTTATTTTACCTTTTTAGTGCAGGGGTTCAAGTGTCACAGATAATTGCAAGTTCTGGAAAGTATCAAATCTCAATGGCACCGCACTTTTGTGCTTGAGCTGCTGGTTTGTTTATAATTTTCATTTTCTTATTTCAATGTTTTTACGTATTTTACTCCTTTTTATGTGTGGCTCTGGTTTTCTCTTGTTTCCCAGCTTATTTGTGTTGGCAGTGCTGCCCGGCGGGCAGATTCAATTTGGCCAGGACTGGACAAAAACCAAACCCTCCTCCATTCTCCATTCTCCATTCTCCATTCCCGATTCTGCAGCCGTAACTAACACTTGCCGCCAGCTGTTTGGCCTGGATGCGCCATTCAAGTGGCATTTGGGAGTCGGGAGAAAGGGCTACTGGAGCTACTAAATCGTTTTATATTTGTTTTTCTCGCTCGGCCGTTTTTTTATATTTTGTTTTTTTTTTTTTTTTGCTGCTGGCGGCTGATGGTCAATGTTTTTAGGGTTACTTGGCTCGGCCCTTTCTTGGCTGTTTTCTTATTGAAATTCAATTTTCCCGGGTCTCCTTCTCAGCCATTTACAGTCGCCGCTTTTTGCCCTGAAATATTTTTGCGGCATACCGTACTCCGTGCCCCGTGCCCCGTGCTCACTTGCCTTATCAATGCCACAAAGTCAGCTCCTTATATTTAACCCTTCTCAGCAATAGGCGGAATTTAAACAATGTTTTGTTTCATGACCGCAATGCTGCGAGGTTGCTTTGAGCCGAGATTGCATTGGGATTCAATTTACGGGGGTGTGTGTGTTTCTGTGTGTTTCCGACCAGGTCAATCTCGTTGGATAATCTTGACAAGGAAATGATTTTCACCCAAGGTGTACAAGGACAAGAATACATCCTGCGTTTGCTGTAAAGCACAGCAGGGTACATAATAATAGTGATACAAGGCAAATACATATTAGAAAAATGGAACAAATCAGAATAAATTGTTTATAGAAATGATATATGATATAAAATCTGACTTTAGATACAACAATTCAAATCATTTTTGTATGAGAAATTTCCTATTACATTCGGCTTTACATTTATTGTTTTACATTTAAAGATATCTGAGTGACATTTAAGACATTGCATTTCGACCGCAGCTGTACAAATAAATCCTTAGAGGATGTCTTCTGCTCTTCTGGGCTGATGGTCTGCTAAATTCAATTGCATGCTTTCACAGGACTCGGGCAGGACCTGTTTTGCCCATACATGTTTACACTGGAATATACGGACGAACGTATGTACATATATTGTCACGCAGCCCAGCCCCAGAATGCCATTTATCAATTTAGTTGACAGTCGATTTCTTTTTCGATTTGCCAAAAGCCACCTCAATTGGTCTTTTTCTCTTCGTTTCTCCGGTTGTTTTTTGTATATCTCCTCGTTGTTGGTCATGGCTCTTGATCCTGCATATATATGTGTTTGTCCGATGTCTGCAATAAAGTATAAAAATGGTGAAGGAGGCAGGATGGAGGCAGGGTGCAGAAGGGGCTCTGAAATTACCATACTCTCTAGTCAAATCACAATCACAATGCTGTCTGCTCTAGGGCGCTCAATCAAAATCCGGCAAATGTGACTGACGTGGCTCAAAATTGTTGGGGTTGCGAGTGAAAAGGGAAGATTGAAAGATTGAAATGCAGGGAGCCAGAAAGGACAAGTGCTGGGATTCGAGAATGGCGTAGATTCTGTTTATTTCCACAAAATTGAGTTGTCAGTTGTTGTCCGGCTTTAGTTTTGCCAACAACTTAATATTATTTTTAGGCAATTAAATCTTAAATTCGTTGCGACAGAGCTCTGGAAATCGATGTAAATTCACAATGCCATTTATGCCAAAGTGCTGTGCTGTGGAGTCCATTGTTACTGCCTAGTCCTGGCTAGACTAAAAGCATTCCAATTGCTTGGACACACTCTTGGATGGGGATGTGCGAAAAAAACGCCTTGCAAGTTGACAAACAACGAGAACAATTAATTTCGTCTTTGATGTCCTGTCGCTTTTACTCCTTCTGCTGTTGCTTATCCCTATTCTTGCACTAAGAGAAATTTATTTACCATTTGTAACTTTCGGGTATTTACATTTTAAAATTAAGAACCATTCTAGATCTATACTTGCTAGACTTTCTTGATGGTTTATAATAATACTTTTCTTCTAGCTGATGGTTCTTATTGATTCATTACAATACCTTTCTTTAAGCTGTTTAATATTCTCTTTTTTATTGGCAAATCTCTTTGAAACTTGTATTTTTTTCCCAGTGTAGTTAGTAAATGGTTAAGAGTTTTCTGGCCAGCGTTCGCCGACCATGTTCATGTTTTTGTTTGCCTTTGAGATGGCCTTTGTTTTTCATTCTGACTTTTTGGCGCTTGCCCGTGGAAGCCCTCCATTGATCCGTTCTCCTCATGATTCCGTGCACTTGCAGGCGCCTGCTACGAACAGAATGCCACAACCATCAGCCTGGGCAACTTCAACTCGCAGCTGAGATTCAATCAGAGCGGCTCGCTCTATTTGCTCTACGAGGACGGTGCCGAGTGCCCCTCAGCGGCGGGAGGCAGCAGCCGCTGGTCGACGAAAATCGAGTTTGTCTGTGCGAACAATGCCACCAAGGACAATGCGGGAGCTGGAGCTGGAGCTGGAACTGGAGGCGGTGATTCTTTGAAAATAATTGAGGACTCCAATTGCCAGCTGTTGATCCAATATCAGACGCCGCTTGCCTGCCGTGAGCCGATTAAGTGCAAGGCCCCCATCTATGTGGACCACACCGCGGAGGGACTGGGGAGCAGTGGCGTCGAGCTGATCGATCTAACGCCATTGATTAGCGACAGCGACAACTACGAGGCACGAGTGGAGCTGCCCACCGGCATGGAGCACCTGGTGCCCAAAGCGACCAAGGTGAGCAGGAGAGCAGCAGGAATAGTCCCTTGATTTCCCCCCGGAACCACGCTGGCCCGTAATTTGCTGGCTTTTGTCTTTGCTCAACTCAAACCATCATCATCATCACGACCAATCCTACTCCTGTCCTGTCCTCATTCTCCCATCTTTCTTTTTTATTTCTTTGCAGTTCTTTTTGAATGTGTGCCGTCCATTAGTGCCCAAATACCAATTAGGCTGTGCCGGCGGATCTGCTGCCTGCATGGCCAAAGTGACGGCCGATGGCGCCCCCGAGGAGGAGCGTGTAAGTACCACCTCCTCATATACTCACATACATACATACATTTAGGAGATAGAGAGTGCATAAATGTACAGGAGAGGTCAGGATAATAATATCAAGGAGTACAGCATTATATTTAATAGAATTTAAAGAAAGTAATTAATGACTTTAATTCTTACAGTTTTAGGAATATAAATAACTAAGATCCTCCGAAAGGATCCTAAAAGGGCATGCTATTGTCTCTTTATATATCTTTTATGGTTCCGTAGAGAACAGTTTTCGTTCTTAGAGCGCATATTCCGAACTTTGAGTGAAATGTTACCTATCTGGCGAATTCTCTCGAAAACTCTCCTTGCAAATATGATGATATTCTATAACACAGAATCCCCCCAAACCTTTGGGTTATATTTTCGACCTCAACTGTGTGCATGCATGGTAGATTCAGAAAAGGCCTCAAAGGGCGGCGTAAGAGTGTGCTGGCCACGTGAAAGAAAGCCGCTTATGTGCTTAAAACTCTTTGCATGCATGTGTATCCAATGAGTGGAACGGGAGCCCAGGGGATCGCTCGTAATTTACGCCAGCCAGCCCTCAGCCCTCAGTCTGCCACACCATCTCGGTGCGCCTTCTCGTCCACCTCATAAACGCCTCAATATGGTCGTCGTCGCCGTGGCCGTTTGGTCAAATGCCCAAAATTGTGGCGCCATTCATGCATTAAATATGCAGCAATCTAATTGCTAAGCTTCGCTCAACCTCAATTTTCCGACCCCTCGGTACGGCCAGCTTCCGTAATTCCCAGGGGGGGGGGGTCTGACCAGTGTGGATTATTTGCTTGCTTCATTAAGAGGCGCCTCCAACTGGGACTGGTCCGGGGTTCTGATTCAGATTGGGCTGCGAATGCGGACACCCACTGTCTGCCGTTGACAGCGGCCAAAAGTTGTTTAATGCCAAAAATCTCCTCACTGAGCATGGACCGACCACTGGCCGCCGGTCCGAATCCTGTCCAGTTTTTGGGGCCAACTCTGTCGAGTCCGGTGCCTAAATACTTAAGCCCACAAAAGTATGCAATGAAATCTGCTTGAAACGAGATTTCTCCCCGGGCCACAAAATGGCCAAAAAACGCTGCCAAGCACCGTCCGGGCCAAATCTTTTGCAAATGAATGGGATAATTGGTGGGGATTTGGCTAGATTCAATAATTCATACATTTTTCCATTAACCCATTCTACACACACATGAACGAGAGTGGAAAAAATTAGGTCTAGTGCTGATTTAAGGCGGGCCCCGTTCTTTTTTTAAATCATTGCACGCCTAATGAAATGTGTTTAGAATTTATTATTCTCCCTAATCGGGGATTAGGTTATACTTGTTTTTTTGAATTTTTGTTAATTTGGATTGTAATTAAAATGAAATTAATTTATTTTGGTTTGCAGAATTGAAAAATTGCTGCAATTTGAGGATAATTATAATGTGTTATGATTATGAATATTTATTAACATGCAAAATCTTAGAAGCAATTTTGAATTAAGAGACTGACTCGTCATATATTTATTGAATTATTAATCACTCTAAATCAATTTATATAGCCATTAATTATCACAAACAAGGTTAGAATTGCGTTGCTTTAACGTTTAGCTAATATTTATCATTTATTATCATCTAAAGAGAGAATTAGGTATATTTTTTTTGTATTATTTAACTTGGTTTCGGTTCATAATTCTTAGGTATTTTTATTTTATTAAACCATATTATTTTTCCTCTTTTTTCTAGTCCTTCGTGACATTTAGCTGCCTTTCTCTTCGGCTTAGTGCCCGCTTGTTTTTAGACGAAAGTCGAATGAATTATTAGGTTCCTTCGCTAAGTTTCCGGGTGGGGCAAGCCACCACTAAACCGCATTCACCGCACTCGCCCCACTTCAATCAGCACAATAATTGCATGCGACAATGGATGCATGCCAAGAGAGGGGGTGGTGTGAGGAAAAGGCAATCTTTCTAGCGCATTTTCCGTATTTTCCGGGGCCAAAAGGCCGCGCAACACACACACTCATACACTCATCCATCCATCCCCTCGCACTGGCACCTTCCGGCTTCAACTTTTATCACAAGCTGCACAAATTTCCCGGGAGCAAAAACATTGTTCAAGTTGCTAAAAAATAAGCACGTACGCGTTGGAAATGGCAATGCGCTGGAGTTCGCTGGAAGAACGAGGCGATGGGGGGCAGTTAAGTAGGGGTTCCCAGGCAGTGGTGCATTCAGGGGGGGCCTCTAAAACGTTGAATATGTTTTTGTGTACAGGATATATTTGAAATTTTTAATGACTTTGGAAAGCTATTATGTGAACTCTCTTTACTAGCACTTGAAAACTTTAGAAAAGATATTAAGATATATTCGATAATGAAAAAGCTGTATATTTTTCAAGCAACCAAAGAAAACTAACTTCGGGAAGACGAAGTATTTATACCCTTGCAGTTTGTAATTACTCAAAAGATCGAACCGGAAATCGATCATAACTAAGCTTCAAATATTTGCATTATTTGAATCGATATTATATGATAATTCTTGCAACAAATTAAATTTAAAAAACTCATAACAAGCTCAAAAATGCATTAATTTTAATTTTAAAAACGTTTCAATGTTAGTTTTTATGAGGTTAATAAATCTGCATACTCCATTTAACATTTAAAAAAATTCACATTTTTGATAGATTTTTGGCCATTTTTTGGCCTTATAAAATTTGAAAAAATTAAAAAAAAATATTATCTTCAAAACTAGCATAGATCGATCCGCCTGTGGATTCTGATCAAGAATATAATGATTTATAGGGTCGGAAATGACTCCTTCAGTCAAAAAAACATAAAATATGTCCATTATATAGACTTTAGATCAATAATTTTGTATATTGTTTTTGGGGGAAAATCACACTTTTTCAAATATCATAACTAAGCCAAAAGTGAATTGATTTAAATTTGGAAAGAATTTCTTTGTTCGTTTTTGTAAGATTAATAAATCTGCATAGTCAATATAACCTTTTAAAGAATTAAAAATTGTATCAATTTATGGCCATTTTAACGACGTAACTAACCCCTTATAAAATTTGAAAAAATTAAACAAAAATATTATCTTCAAAACTAGCACAAATCGATTCGCCTGCTGGTTCTGATCAAGAATATAATGATTTATAGGGTCGGAAATAACTGCTTCACTGCGTTTTACGCTTCTGACTACAATTAAAATACCATTCTTGAGTCGATATTTATCAATATTTTTGTATTAAAATTTTGTCTAAAAATCAGATCTTAAAAAACTCATACCTAAGGCAAAAAAGCATTAATTTAAAATAGGAAAGCTATCCTCGGTTAGTTTTTGTTAGGTTTACAAATCGGCATACTCAATTTAACACTTAAAAATTCAATTTTTTTATCAACTTTTCAAAATTATAACGATGTAACTAACCCCTTATAAACTTTAAAAAATTTTGAAAATATACATTTTCCCGGACATAGCTAGATCGACTCGGCTGTTGAATATATATGATTTATATGGTCGGAAATGACTTCTTCACAGTGTTATAGCATTAAAATACCCTGCAATGGTATAACGAGAAATAATCCCCCTAAAAAACCGTACGGTGCAGCCCCTGGCCTAAATTGTGCTTTGTAAAAACGGGTGGGGGCAATAAGGGGATTCCTGTGGCAGGCAGCACGCGAGTGAAATATGTGAGCATAACGTAAGGTCAGCCAACGTAACGTCGCGCTACGTAACGAAACGGAACGGAAGGAAATGGCAAAATGCGGCTGGATGGGGGAAGAGCGAGGGTAAAATATCTGTAAAAACAGCTTTTAGCGGCCAGCAGCAGCAGCATCCATGTGTGCCATGTGTGCGTATACGTGTGTGAGGGGGGTGTGCCTACCGGCGACGTGCTCTGTAAAGCATTTCCTGCGGCAGGAGGCGACTCTAGATGGCCCGAATGGGTGGCAATGGCGGTAGTGGTGATGGTAATGGTGGCTTAAAGTGCCATCGGCTTTGTTTGCATGCCGTTGGCCTAGAAATAACGCATTCGGGGCAAAAATATATTTTTATAAAAATTCTATTGCTTTATTTTTGTAGTCGACGTTCGCTACAGACAGCCTCCGCTGGCCATGAATTGCTTGCACTGCAAAAAAAAATTTACCTAACAAATAATATTTATTTAGTTATCATAAAAAAGTTATTTTCTAGTTAGAATTTAAATTAAATTTAGCTATTTTCCTGAAATCCTATCATATTTATTTTTCATTCAATATAGAAATAATATTATCTATAAAAATTCTAGTAATTTGATATTTTTTGATTTAAAATTCAACAGAAGTCCGTTTATTTTTAAATAAACAGGCTAGCCCCCCACATCAGTGTGTCCCCGCAATTCATATTTATATATTTTCATATTTCAAGTGTAGCCTTTGGTCCCTCCATTCCTGTTGACATTTTGCGCCACGTTTTGCATTTTGAAAATGCTTCGTTTTCAGAGCATTTCGTGTGCGGAAACGGAAATGTGCTGCTCGTAGCTGCTGACGCGCACTTGAGCGGACCCCATTCCTCCTCTCTGTCCTCCAAAAGAGTGAACAAAAAGGAGAAAAACTCAACCCATACTGATGGCTTTGGGTGCCTCTCTGCCACGCCCACTCATTGGTAGTTGTCGAACGTTGTCGCCTGCATTTGCAGCCCCCAACCCCAACCCCATCTCCAACTCCATCGAATCCATTGAATCCCCCATTTCAGCCCCTTATCGCATGCACATATTTTAATGTGCTGCCATTGCATATATCCCCAGGCTAACCAGCTACAATGGAAAGAAGCATTGCCTGAATCCTGTGGGAGAAGATATATTTAACCCACTGTGCCAGGGTGTCTTCTAACGCTTAATATATTGTACAAGGGAAATTATGATATCTTAGTTAATCTATATAAAGCTAAAGATTAATACCTTAATAAATACTTCGTTGTTTTGGATTTTTATAAATCCAATTGTGCTAGGATTTATAAGAACTATAAAACAGGGCGAAAGGTTGACAAAAATCGGCAAATGTTGCTAGAATCATGTTTCGCTACACCCATTAATGGTTCCATCAAATATTTACATGTATACATTATCTAATCTATACATTCAGGAACCATCTTAAATCGTTTAAAAGACTTACGCGACATTAGTATACCTTAAGTCTTGGCATTTAATGGTTTACATTTAAATAAATTCCTTTAAAATATCATACATATTAGTTGGTCCCTGGAGGGTTAAGCGATTGCCACTGCAGACATTTGTCGCCATTGGCGCTTGACTCGAAGGAAGCCCTGCCGGATCAGCGACACGTTTGATTTTCTCTGGGAATTCCCTAAGGATTTGCGATTGCGACTCCGATTGCGACTGCGAGTGCGAGTCAATTCATTGGCATGCAGCGACTCCATTGTCAACTCGATGGCGGCATTTGACTTGTGCCAGTGCAAATTTGGCAACGGGCATGTGACTAGCATGACAATGGCAACCCCATTACCCCGACCAAGTTCGAGCTTCATCTCCATCTACATCTCCAGCTCTGCCTTCATCTCCAGCTCCTTGTCCCCTTGCATTTGCATTTGCATTTGCACTTCCGACAATAACCACAAAATCGTCAAAATGGCTGCCGTCGGGGGTCTGCGCCCCATCAAATCGGATTAATAATGAAATTGATCAAATTGTTGTGCAAACAGCTGAATGCCTTGCCAGCAGCTCCACAATGCTGGGCATAACTCGTCCCCAACTGTCCAGTCCCGTTTCGTCCTTCTCCTGCTGCCTCCCAGCCTGCCTGCCATTGTGCTTATTGTTATCCCAGTTATTGTCCTGTCCCTCAATGTCATGCCTGTTGTGGCCGCTTCGGCCTCCCATTCATGGCTTTCTCGTAGGTTGGTAGGTTGAATGCCGACCAGGCCACAGGGCGGATAAGCAACGTAGGGGTAGGAACGGTCACCATGTCCGCTGGCATGTTCCTAGTGAATCGCTGAACTAGCAGAAATCTTTATTGCTTCTCAACTCGAGCATGGCCTTGTTTCTTCTTTTTGTCATTCTACAAAAAAATATTAGATTTGGGTTAGAAAAGTGTATGTGTATTGGATACTAGGGATATTTAGGAAATTTAAATGAGGGAAATATGGAACAGTTGAGTTAGGTTTTTATGGGATTATAAGTTGTCTCTAATTATATATACTGATTTCAGCAAATCCTTTTGCTATTACCCAATACCTTTCAATACCTATTTCTTGGTACTTCCAACAGATTTCTTAATCTAAAAGTCCTTGCAGATGGGAAAACAATTTCTTTAATCTCTCTCCATTCTTATCTTACACATTTTTCTTTTTCCAAATGTTTTGTTAGAAAAGAATACATTCCTATCTCAAGCCAAGGAAACAACTTAAGGTTAACGATACACTCCCTTCCTTATGGACTGCCCACTAATTAGAACGAGCAACCTAAATAAATGTCGTGTCCTGAAATCCTTTTGAGAATCCCAAACAGTTCTTTTAATCTCGCAGCAGCAGCGCATTAAAGTTTCGATTTGTTTCCCTTGGCCCGAGCCAAAAGATTTTCCAACAATCAAGTAAAGATTTTCTTCTTGTTTTCCTCAGCTCCTTGTTGTTAGCTTGGCCTTGTCTTGCCCAGTCCTGCCCCGTGTCCTTTGTGCTTTCTTTTTCGCTTTTTTTTTTGTTCAACTCATTTATTTGTATCTGCAAACAATTAAGTTACTTTCGGTCTGGCCAGCCAGTCGTCGCTGGAATTTTCTTCTCTTCTTTTTGTTATTTGTCCCTGGTATCCTGGAGAGGAAAGTTTTGCGAAACTTAAAAAAAATAATCACAAATATCCTGGCGCACGCACACTGGCACACATACACAGAGAAGCTACTGGCTTGTTCAAATGCGATAAGAAAGTTTTTCAATAAATTTTGCACAGCGAGAGCTACTGGCGAAACTTACTGTGCCTGCCTGCCTGTTTTCTAAGTCAGTAAGCCGGCGCCAAAGGGAGTCCCCCTGATCTGCCATATATTCCCCATTACAACCCCGAACCCCAAGGATACCTCTCGATGCTAATGAGCCTGCCGGATACTGAAGGTCAGACGGCAGTCGTTGTGTATTTGCTGATGGCGCATTAGCTGCGATTTTGATTTTCAAATGGATTTTCAAAGGATCCGATCCGCCAGTGAAACGTCCAGCAATAAATAATAGGGCAAACTGCTAAAACATCGCCTGAGCTGCATACGAAATGAGTACGGTTCAGAGTCGGAACTCGGTCTGGACCTGGAACTGAAAACTGGAAACTGGAGCACCCTCTGCCACTAATACGTTTAAGATGAGACGACAACATGTGCAACGCTTGCCGCCGCCATCGACCTTGTTGACCCGAGCATAAATCTTGTGCCACTCGAACGCCAATGCACTTGCCTCCAAGCGGGTTTCCCTTGCATCCCCCTGTTATCCTTCGGAATCGTTGGGTATCCCTGCTTTTTGCGCATTAAGCTCACGTCGTTGGCCGGCTAGTTGGATAGCTGGCAGCGTTTAAGCTGCCTGATTGCCAATAGCAGCAGTTAGCGTGCGCCATCGATAGGGGTGGCCAGCAACAGCTGCACAGGCGACGAGCTGGTCGGATTTTAATATTAGAATAGGTCTCATGAAAAGCTTTTCTTTATGGGAAATATTTAAAACTGAAAGCCCAATTTTGTGCCATTAAAATTTACCCGTGTAGAGGTTTATAATATTATAATATCCTAGCTCTTTATATACTAAATTATTCAGACTTACCTTTGTCTACCTTTTGCACCTGTAAGCTTTGTATTTTATGTTTGCCAAACAAAGAGGATATCTTTATACACACTCATTGCCGGAAGGACTAGCTTGATTTTTGTCGGGTGGGCGGTGCCATTGAACTATCCATTAAATTGTCGTTTCTGCTGACTCGGACCGGCATGTCCTGCTGGATCCTTGGCCATGCCAGTTATCATCGCATCGATGTGCCGGCCACTTCACTGGTTCTGAGTTACTTGGCCTGGACACCGGCAACAAGGATAGCAACAAGCTACAAGGAACCAGCAGCCAGGAGCCAGGAGCAGGCGACATTGGAACGTGTGCATGGCTCAGACAGGGATTTCGAGTTATTTGCCGCAATCTCAGACATAAAGTTATACATTTCGCTTTCGACGAGCATGCTTAAAGCGCCCCTTTCACCACTTTCACCCCCTCTGTTTGTCTCGTTCACAGAGCATGGGATTTCCGCTGGTATCGCTGTCGCAAAGGAATCGTACCTCCGCCGAGTTGTTGTACTTGAAGGGCGATCCTTGTCCGACGGACAACAGTACGGAGCTGTCCACGCACATGCTCTTCAACTGCAATATGCGTGCGGGTCGGGTAAGTACACAGGAAAAAAAATATAGGTACATTTTCAACACGCACTGAACATTAACACGAATACATTTAATTGCTTGCTTTGCAGATTAATATTGGGGGTGACATTATATAATAGTAGTTATTGCTATGCTTATTAAGTTTTGATTTCTATAATAATTATTTGTATTAAACCAAAAAGCATGTGTAGTTTTTAATATATTATTTGGCATGCTTATCCTTATTTCCTAATTTAATTTATTTAACTTATATTTTGTAGTTTTTGGTTTTATTTCTATTTAATTTAGGGTCAACCGGTATTACATTCGATTGAGGACTGTATCTACAAATTTAGTTGGGAATCAAAGATTATATGCCAAAATTGAACCTTATTTTGTTGTTTATATCAATGATATTTACAATGTTGTAAGGATTTTCTTTAAAACACGGTACTCTTTCCAATCTAAAAAATTTAAATGTGTGAGTTAAGGATAACAATTTCTATATATATTTGTTATTACTTCGAGTTAATCCTTCGAGTGTATAGAAAAAAAGAACCCACACATTCAAGAAGCAATCGGATTCTGATAGGCCATTTGTGCGGACAGCTTTGACTGGGTCACAGTCTTTATGCGACTATTTCAAAGGACGACCTCGCCGCTCACCTGCAAATTGCTTGCACGCTCCTAATGGCTGTTCTCTCTTACCTTTCCTTCCCTCCTCCATTTAGGGGCAACCGGTGCTGCGTTCAATCGAGGACTGCACCTACAGATTCGAGTGGGAGACGAATATCTTTTGCCCGCCGCACGAGTGCACCTTCAGTGCGGACACCTGTGAACTGGTCCACGACGAACTGGGCCATCGCTTCAACTTTAAGAGTGCGCACTTCACCAACGACGGCAAGGTTCAGGTGAGAGGGAATGGCATCTATCTACGTGTGGTAGGAGGTTGGTCTACTAACTGGGCTTTTTCCTGCTCTCAGATCGACTACAATGCCACGAAGATGTCGGTAAATATTTGCGGAGCTCGCCGCAAGGCGATGACGGACTATTCACAGTCGCTGGTCAACATATTCTTCACACACGAGTCACCTAATTGCGGCAAGGAAGGTGAGTTGGCGGTGCAGCTGCAGCTAATTCGATTTACATATTCCGGCGGGGAAAGGGAACTGGATAAGGAGCCCGCGTTGTCGCTTGTCGCATCCGTTTCCGTTTCTGGTTCCGCTTCCGGTTCCCCTTCCGCTGGTGCAACATGCGCGCCTTGTCGCCATTTTGTTTTCCTTTCTCTATCTGGCTTTTCGTTGCTTTTTTTCTTCCCCTCCCCCTTTTCTGTTTTTGGTGCGCTTTTGGGTGTTTTGTGGAAAAACGGGAGAATCGCATTAGATTTGGCGTACAGCCCAATGCACTTTCTTTGCCCGGTGACATTGCGCTTCCTGCACCATCGTCCTTGCGATCCTCGTGGCATTTTATCACGCCACTTTTATCGCTGGTACTCATGGTTTTAATGCCAGCATTCCGTTCGGGTATGATTGAGTCGGGAAAGTTTTATATATTTATTATTTAACAAATTTTAATCGTATAGTTTACAGAATTCTTAACAAAATTATGAAGAAAAAGAAATCGAGATAGTTTCCTTATAGCTTCCATTCTTATTTATCTTCGAATACAAGTAGAAAAAATTTGTGTCTTAAAGTACTCAAGTACTGAGTAAAGGGTATTTCACAGTCGTGCCCTTTGATGTAAGTGTTTTTCTTGACTTTTTTTATTATACGCGACGCCACTCTTGCAACTGCGACATTTTCGGGCACTTGTCGTGGTGGCTCTTTTCACTGTGTGTTTTTTTAGTAGTTTGCTTTTTAACTAAGATTCTTTTTGTCTGTCTGCGGGGGAAATGAAAAAGGCAAGCAAAGTGCTTGAAATTATACAAAAAAATATATCTAGCGAACGAGAAAAAAACTGTCTACGAGATAATGCGGTAAAATAATCTTGCTGCACTTGGGAAAATCTCTCTTTTTCTCTAGAGCTTTTCCTGTTTTTTCTCGGCATTCTTGATTTTATTTTTATTTTATTTTTTTTTTTGTAGATGTGATACTACTGCATGAATATTTAATGCATGCAGAGCAGACAGGCGGGAAAGACTGTGTGTGGGGGGATGGGGTTTGTCGACATCCTGCGCCGAGATTTCCCCCGGGCCACTCCATGTTAGCTGCCTTATATTCGCACAATGATTTTTATTCGAGCCATTGCATGGCACTTAAAACTTTGCCATTAAAAACAAAACTTTTTATTTTTGACAAATAAAACTGACGACGATTTAATTATGACACATCTCCATTGTCTCTCAGACTTGGCCATAAAATGGAATTATTTTAAAACTCTGTGGCGCACAAACTGTGTTGCCATTGTTTTGGTTTCGGCAAACGACAGAGCGCAATCTGCAAGCGATCAGACAATTTTAATATGCCCAGTGACAGGCGTTAGCAGATACCAGAAATGTGTGGGTGGCCAGAGCAGGAGCAGGAGCAGCAGCAGAAGCAGGAGGCGTTAGAGGAACATTGCCCAAAAATCCCAACGAGTTGTAGATTTTGTGTGGCTTTGCGACCGAAGCTGGAGGCTTTGATTCCCCCACACCAAGCCAGACATGTACGCATTTCATGCTGAGCATTTGACCGACAACAGTAGAGCCTGACCCTGCAGGATGCCAGGACAATCCAGGGAGAAAAGGGGAAGCAGAAGCAGTTGGGAGCTGTGTTGTCGTCTGTGGTGATAATTATTTTTGGCTTTTATGCGATAACTTTGCGGTCCAGGCCCAATCCACTTTGCTCCAAACCCCTTGTGCTGTATCATTTGAAATTTTGATAAGGATACTGTACAGCTGTGTGTGTGTGGGGGAAGCCAGCCTTTGTCTGGCCCATAAAAATGGAAAGCCAGCCAGAGTCTGCTGCTGTTGCTACTGGTTTTTGTACGCTTTTATTAGGGTTAAGATTGTTTTGAATGTGGGTTCATTTGAACTAATTAAAGTGCTCTCGAAACTAATGCCCTATTACGTTTACGTTATCCCTCGCAGGCACGATGAACGTCCAGATCCGCCTGATATGCAGTAACCAGACGGAGAGCAGCAGTCTCATCTCAAGCGTAAGTACCAAGGATACTAAATATATATATATACATATATATATAGTCGTAAGTAAGGAATCTCTTACCTGAATCAGCAGCCACGGCATCTGGCGTTCTTGGCTCTTTGGAGGATTACAAAGAGTGTAGCACGCTTTTCAGCGCTCTGCCAAATGCGCATCAAAGAAACACGGCAACTGTAGGGATATTTTGCGAGGTTTTTCTTGTTTATATACCCTTGCAGACGGGGATTATAGCGTTGTTGTTGCGAAGGTGACACTTTCAATCCAGTTAAGTGGTATTGATTGGCATCTTTTTATGGCTATTCTGTTATCTAGGGATGTACTTACGCGTCACTTCATCTGGCCTAGTTCAAATGATTTGAGAGTGTTTTCCCACATCTTCTAGGAGATTTATTCTTGTAAATGAATGACAAATACGAACGCCAATATATAAATAGATTATTTTCCGTTTTAATTTATGTGTATGAATATATAAACCTCTCAAATATCAACATTTTTGCTTAGAAGATGTTTAAAAGGCAATTTTTTAAATATTTATATAATGTAAGTAGTGTATGTAAGGTATTTCAATTCCAGTCAGATTGCTATAACAATGTGAAGGAATCATTTACGACCCTACAAATCATATATATTCTTGATCAGAATCAACAGGCAAATCGATCTAGCTGAGTTTGGAAGAAAATAATTTTTTTTAATTTTTTTTTAATTTTATAGGGTTAAAATTACCAAAAAATTTATCAAAAATTTGAATTTTTTAAAATGTTAAATGGAGTATGCAGATTTATTAACCTTATAAAAACTAACATTGCAACGGCGTCCGAATTAAAATTAATGCTTTTTTGACCTAGTTATGAGAATTTTAATATTTGATTTGGCAATACAATTGTCATATAAATATTGATTCAAAAAAGTGAATATTTTAAGCTTAGTTATGATAAATCTTCGATTTGACCCATTAATGTAATTGCAAACTATAACATCATATAATCCTTGGGATCCATAAGTTTATTTCCTTTCTAGTTTTCGTTAATTTGTGTACTGAAAACTATATCATATTGAATATATCATGATGTTTAATAGAAAAATATGCAATTTGAAAAAATAGCTCTCTAAATACCCCTAGTATATATTCTTTCCTTAAAAATGTCATAGCAATATTCTACATTAACTTTAAGGGTAACTACATTTCGGTTTTGCAAAAGTTAGCCTCCTATCTTTTTGTTCATGTTTCCCTTTTTTAATTTTTGTAAGCGAACAAAAAGTCTTGGCAGTCGGTGGGTCCTTTCTCAAAGAGTCGCCACAAGGCACTGGGACTACTCGGCTTCAAAGTAAGAATGTATGAAATATGTTTGCGGAAAAGGGCAACCAGGGACACGGAAAGGGACACGGACTTACTGCCGCAGGAGAGCCGTCGCCTTGCAAGAAGCGGTGGTTTTTAGGGCGGGAGGCGGCGACTTAGGCAGGTGCCCAGGGAGTACGGAATGTGCGGCAGGTGTCCTTTGTTATGCTTACCACCTGGCAATCGGCTTTGCCTGTGCATCTTCTTCTGGCTTTCAGCCCTTTTTGCTGTATCTTTGTCCTTTGTCCTTTGTCTTTTCATATTTCTGTTTTTGCGGTTTGCTTTGCATTTCTTGCTTGCTTCTTGTCTAAGGCCCTCACCTGCGTTCACCTGTGTTCACCCGTTCACCTGTGTTCACCCGTTCACCTGTTCAGCTGCTCTTAGCTGCTGGCTGAAGCTTTTGTTTCCCCGAGTTCATTCGTGTCGCAGGCGGCTTTGTTGTTGTCATCCGGGCACGCAGGATCAGCTGGCAAGATATATACAGGCATTGTTAGCTGTGACCTCCCCATGTATTGACCAGGTGACCCTTGGCTTGTGGTTAGAGGAGGCTAAAAGTCGGCAGGAGCAAAATTAAATTAAAAGCAGGTCCTTTATCGGGCGCCTGCTGTGTATGTGTGTGTGTGTGTTTGTGGGAGTAATAATATAATTAAGTTGCATTCGCCTGCAGCACTTTGACTAATGACCAGGGCTCCCACTTTGTTGTGGCTTTTCCAAAAGCACTGCCCCAGCATCATTAGCATGCAGGGCATGCCGAGCATGGACCTAATGCCGGCTGGATTCTCTTTAAGCTAATTAATAATTGTTTGCATTGCTTGCACGACAATTAACCGCAGGTTGCTGAAATATTTCCCCATTTTCACGAGCACAATGCATCGTAATTAGTGGCGCAGGTCCAACTGCATTAGCCGCCGACCCCAAAAACGTTTTGCAATTAGTGCTTGAGGTCGACTCCCGCCCCAAAAAAGGACTCCATCATGGCGCATTGTAGTCCATTACGCAAAAATTACGCCGTAGGAAGCGGCGCTGATTGAAAACATTTCCCGTGCCCGTTTTCTAGGTCGATAGTTTTATGTTTTACCCCGGCCAGACAGGACGCAGTCAGGCAGGCAGTCAGCCAGGAATCGCCTGTATTTGGCTTCGATTTTGCATTTGTGGCACCAGGCAATTGACCCAAATTTAAACCAGCTGCAAGCTGTTTGCCACCTCCGACAAACGCTTTCGAAATGCCGCCATTGCCGACGGGGTTCCCATGTCACAGATGCGGGCTGTGGCCTCTGTCACCCAATCACCATGCCACATTTCTAATCGACGTACTGCCTCCCTGCTTTGGGAATCTGGGAATGGGTATGGGCATGCATCATCCAATGATGTTAATTGCTCGACCCACCGCACTCCCTGGGATCTTTAATATTTGCATTTCCTTGTCCAAGCAGACAGCTAATATGTACATCTGAGTAGCTCAACAGGTTAAGCCGAACAAGATGTTGTGGTCAGCTGGGAGCAGAGGAGGAAAAAAGGAAAACTAGGGTGCAAAACAGCTTATCGTCCAAAGAACCCCAACACGTTTTAATCCTTGAACTGCAGAGCGGAAAATAGCAGTTTTCGCTACACTTTACAAAATGTTCGTGAACTAGTTTTATAATTCTGTTTATTAGAGAGACCTTTAAATGAATATTTTCTACCAGTGTATATGTGTGCAATTATAGCACACTATATATACACAACGAAGGACAACTTTTGGGTAGCAACAAAAAGGAACTGTGTACACTGGCTCCTGGTACTCGTCGTCCTGCTACTGGCAGAGGCGCTGTTGGAAAATTAGCGATTCAATGAAATGGGATTTTAAATGGCTGCAAACTTTTTAATGCGTTGCTCCCTCCATCACCTCCTCCTCCACCAGCAGCTACAGCTCCAGCTGCTCCCTTTACCGCTTCCTGGCAACCCCGAACTAAGGACCCAACCTTGTTCTCCTCGCGGACATGTTCGTGTCTGGTGCGGCGCCTCGCCGTGACGGGAAAGTTTGAGCCAGCTTTGGGGCTGGCGAGCGTTTTTGCCGAGCTCCAGTTGCCAGTTGCCAGCTGCAGTTGTGCCGCAAAAGTTTTTAAATTATGCGCACATTTGCTGTTTCATTTTGCAGTCGCTGGTCGCGCCGGAAATGGTCTTTGGGTGAAAGTGTTGCCAGCGAACACAGAACGCAGAATATAGAACACAGAACACAGCAAGGGTTTTTCCAGGCGACCCAGGATGCCGGAAACAAGCTGCGAGCAGTTGTTGCGCCACAAATTTGTGCAGGCCACTGGACGAGGACAAGGATGGCGGGGGGTGGAAGTGTTTGGGCGTCGTATTTTACTCGGAATTTATGTCCGCCCTCGGTCCCCATATCAATTTATTTATTTATTTTCCTTGCACTTAATGAAGAAAGTTTCTAATTACAAGAATCCGTTTCCTTGCAGGACCAGCAATGCAATTTGCTTTATGTGCAGCGAACGCCGAGCATCTGCCAGTTCCTTTCCCTCGATGTGGCCCAGCAGGATGCCCAAGGCGGTGGCTCCAGTAGCTCCAGCTCGACTAGCACCAGCACCAGCACCAGCACCACTAGCACCACGACAACGACGACGGCTTCGCCAGCGGGTAAGCCAACTAAGGCAGCCACGTCGACAACTACAACGACAACAGCTGGCCCTGATCCGGCGGCTACTCCCATCGGGCCGACGGCCTCCGTGGGCAGTAAGTGCAGCTGGCCCGCTCTGATTGCACTGCCATCCATCACTCATCCGCCCCGTTGTTCGTGTCTCTTTTTTCGCAGCCATCCTGGCGGCCATTTTGTCGGTGACCTTCTGTGTGACGTGCCTGGGACTATTCGCCTTTTCGCCGGCGCGAAGGCAGCGCGTGCGTCGCTTCTTCCGGCGCAGCAACTCGGCGGTTCGCTACTCCGGGTAAGTTCCCCCAGCCAGGAGGAGACGGAGCCAGGAGCTAACCCTTTTGCATCCCTTTAGGTGCAGTCCAACGAGGAGGCCAACCTGCTGCTGGAGCCCAATGGAGAGTTCACTGAGAGCGATGATGACATGCTGCTTTAGGTGGACCAACGTGAATCCAAGTCGTCGAAGGAGGACACATCTTGGCCATTAATAGGGGGGGAAAACAAAGTGGTGGAACGGAACCGAAACCGGAACGGTGGTAGCTAGATAAAGACACTAAGATCCCAAAGTGAGAAACACTGAACACCAAAGACATAACTGAAAAATGGAACTGATTGTGAGTTACAAAAAAAAAAGAACTATAAAACCGTAGAAGACAAGTAAGGATAAGGGAACGAATGAACTGCTTAAGGATGTTGATATAAACAAAAATTGTACAATATGCGTAGGCTACAACGACGACATACACAACCCAATTAACGCAACTATATATACACACACTATATATTTTATATACCCTTCGTATGAAAAAGGATGAACCCATAGATATAGATAAGTGCAATATGCATTCACAAGAGAATTGCCACGGACAATTGCTTGAATCGTATTTTCGCTGGCAGCTATATATATATATATATATATATAAATATTTGCTATATAGCGCGGCAGCTTGTTTCCTTCCATTAACGATGTGATTTCCTATGTTTTGGCCACTTCAAGTGCAGCTTGAGTGTCCTTTTTGTAACAATTTGTATTTTAATCCAATGCAATCTGTACTTACATTTCTGTTTTCGTCTTGTTTGTTTTAGTTAATTAAGTCGAGTCTTATTAAATGTACAATTTTAAATGTATACACTTATATATATATAAAAGTAATAAATATTATAAAAAAATAAATAATAAAGTGTTGTTTAAATAATGTGAAGCCAAGAAAAGCGAGATCGGGACAGTCTCCGATAATAATAAAATAATCTTACATAAATATTTAAAAATCCCCCAGTATCCAGTAAAAACATCTAAATGATGCATAATTTTTAAAATATATATTTTATTTTGCGTTGTATGTATGTGTGTTTCTCATATACAATTCGGATTAATTTACTCAAATGCGTTACAGAGTAGATGAGTGTGTCTGCGTAAATTTGTAGGTACCTTAGGTATTACATATCAGAGACAATCTATAGCTTAGACGATATACACATACTTTAGCTTAATTACATTTACGTATCATAGACGATATTCTTATTTTTTATATATTTCATATGAATGAAGAGGCTAGCCTAATGTTTAGATGGTAGATGACGTGGTAATGGGAATTCGTTGAAATTGGATAGTCTTGGGGGTCGGTATGTACTTATTTATATAGCGTCATTTAAATGGGCGTGAGATTACAATTGATATTCGTGATAGGAAATCTGGTGCGTTACGTTTTGTTTGCTTTGTTTTTCTTGTTTTGGAAAGTACAGAAATTCTCATTCATCGTATGTACAGAGAGGTGTTTGGGTGAATAATAGTTACTTAGGACCTAAATATCTAGCATACATACATATACATACAAAGAAGGCAATTTGTATTTCTCATTTCGGTAGCATTTGTTGTCGTTATTTTGTGTTCACAATTAGAGATTCTATACTACTATTTGGATACGTCGTATGTGTATTGCATGCGGCTCTTACTCGTAGTAGTTTTAGGTTGTAGGTTGCGTTCTAACAAATAATAAGTAGTTATATAGTTTGAAATAAAGCTCGATTTGTTCAAAAGTTGGACTCCCTTTCGGCTGAGATTCCTCTTCGTTCAAAGGTAAAATATTTAAATAAATGTGGTCATGGGGTAAGGTAAGCCTTGAGCTAGTCTCAGTTTGTTTAGCGGCGGCAGCTTAAGGTAATCCTAATGTACAAATAATTACTAATTAAATGAGATTTGCTGTCTTACGAGAGGGTCTAGGCTAGCCTTAAAAATAACACTTAACAGAGTGATGCCTCCTACTTGCACTTCTTCCTCAAACTATTATTTCTTCTTTATAATTCTTTCTTTAACAAAGGCCACATGAAATATTGAAATTGGAAACTTCTATAAACTTTTCCTGAAGCGCAGGCTAGGAGGAGCTTGGGGGGAAAATCGATAATATTCTCTAGACTTTATACATTCAGCTGGGTGCTTCTCCGCCTCCGTCCGTGGCAGTGGGTTGCGGCTTCTTCTCGTCTCTCTAACGGAACAATAGCTCATCGTCGGGATCGAACTGGAACAGCTCCGCCTTCTCCCAGTCCTATACGTCGCTCTGTTTCGCATTCGTGTTGATGATGAAGGCGCCATTGATGTGGCCGTTGGCATGGTGCACCTTGCCATTGGGTGTGTAGAGATTCGTCAGTCCGTTCTTGCCATTGGCAATCATCATGGCGGGGTGAGTGGTGCCTCCGTTTAGCTGCGCCACCAGCGGGTTCTTGGTGGCCTCCGCCGGCGGCGTGGTCAGTGGCGGCGTCACTGGCGACGGTTTGATCAGCTCCAGCTTGTCATCGGTGGAGCCCTTCAGGGGCGACTTGATCAATGCTCCGTTGCCCATATTTCCCAGGGATTTGCGGTGCGGCAAAGCAAAGCGCAGCTTATCCCAGAACCAGGGATCGCCCCACTTCAGGTAGGTGTTCATCTTCAGGTAGGCCTTTAGCTCCTCGTCCAGCTTCTCCACATCGCCAATGTCCGAGTAAATGATGACAATGATGCGGGCACGACCCTCGTTCAGAGCCGATCTGTGTGCTGCCCGGAACTCCATGCGTGCCCACTCCGACTTGATGAAGTTCTGGCTCAGCACGATGATGGTGCGCCGCGAATCCGCCACGGATCGCATGATGTTCTCGGGTATGTGTCCGCCCACCAGCCAGTCGCGTTCGTGCACACACAGCTGGAACTTCTGGGGACCGTGCTCCAGCTGCGGCACCAGGTAGTCCTCGATGAAGCTCTGATCCTTGTGCGAGTACGAGATGAAGGCATCGAACTTTTTATCCTTGTCCAGCTCCTCCTCGGTGACCAGCCAGAGGAACATGTTGTGGGCATACAACCAGATCTTGATCTCCATCTGGTACTTGTAGTACAGAGCAGCCGTAAATCCGGCCAGAAGGCCAGTCAAAGCGATCACCACGGCCAGGGCAATGAAGGCACTGCGATCATCCGGACAGATGTCGTTGGTGGACAACTCCACCATCCGTGTGGGCGACTCGGCATTCATGCACATCATCTCATTGCGATCCTCAATCCGCTCAAAGTTGTCCTGGGTGAACAGAAGCAGGGGCTTGGCATTGCAGTCACAGTTCCAGGGGTTCCCGGCCAGTCTCAGGGACCGATACGGCATGGTGCGATTGAGGAAGCCCAGCACGGTGGCGTTCAATGCCTGAAGTTGGTTCCGGCTCACGTCCAGGTGGTTCAGGTGCCTCGGCAGTTGATCCACCTCAATGCTGGTGAGATTATTGCCAGCCAGATGGAGACTGGTCACCTGATCGTAGCCACGAGTGTCGAAGGAAGGCAGGCTGACAAGGGTATTGTTCTCCAGATACAGCTCCATTATGTCCAGGTTGTTGTGCAGATCCGGCAGTCTGGGCACCTCGGTCAGATTCCCGCTGTTGCACTTCACCAACAAGGCCTTGTCGAAGGTTCGAACCCAACAGCTGCAGCCAAGCGGACACTTTCGCTCTCTCGGATCGTCGGAGATGTCCAGCGGACAGATGAGCTTCTCCGGCAGCACCTCACGCACGGGCATGGCCTGCAGGGCACTGGGCTGGTTGCAGGTCAACCGGTCTGTGCGCAACTTGAACTGCCTTGTATACGCCGGCACATGTTCGCCCCTCACCAATTGGACAAATCGGAGCAGCACGCAATCGCAGACCAAAGGATTATCGTTGAGATCCACGTGCACCACCTTCGAGCCCATATCCTCGCTCACCTCCAAGTCCGTGGGCATTTGTATCCTTGTGATCTGATTATGCGTAAAGTTCACATGCAGCCGGTTCTTGGACAAAAACTGCAGATCCTCGTAGGACAGCGAGCTGATGTTGTTGTAGCTCAGATCAAGGACTCGCAGTTGCGTCAATAGGAACTTCCAGTCCGAATAGATGAACAACACCGAATTGTTACGCAGATTAAGGGTTTCCAGCTCGGTCAGGGGGCTAAAAGGAGAGTTGCCAGTGACCTCGAGGATTGCCTCCAAGAGGGGCTGCTGCAAATTGATATCGTTGTGCTCCAGATGCAGGTGTCGCAGTTCCGTGGCGCCCACAAAGGCATTGGGATCGATGGTTCGTAGACGATTCCAGCTCATAGTCAAGGTCTCTAGGTGGCCCAGTCTGCTGAATATGTCACTGTTTTAAAGAAAAAGAAAATATATAGAAATAAATTAACTAAATGTTAAGGAGGAAACCTATTTTAAAGACAGTAACAATATATTTATAAACTTGAATTTACCTGCTAATGCCTGTCAACAGATTATCCTCGAGATTCAAATCCGTCAGCTTGGTGGTGTGCTCAAATAGCTTGTCCGGCAGATGAGTCAGCCGGTTGCTGCTCAGATCCAGATTCAGGAGATTCACCTGATGCTCCAGCAGCCTGGCAGGCAACGTGGTCAGCAGATTCTCCTTTAGCGAGATATTTGTGATCTCCGTCGAGTGCTCAAAGAGATCGCCTGGCAGTGTCTCTAGTTCCGATCGTAGAAGTATAACCTTCAGCTCCAGATGGTTGGCAAACAGGCGAGATGGCAGAGTGGTGAGTGGCACCCGATTGTTGAGGATTCGCACCTGCTGCAGGTGCGGATTGTGCTCAAAGAGACCCTCTGGTAGGGAGCGGAAGTGATTGGCGCTCAGATTGATCTCCGTTAGATTCGTGAGCAGGGCGAAGACATCATGGGGCAGCTGCTCGATCCCATTGGCATGGATATCAATGTCCAGCACCGAGGTGGCACCCTCAAAGTCATGCTTGGTCAGGTTGTGCAGCTGGTTGTTCCACAGATTCAGATGCTTCAGCTTGGGCATTTTGCTAAAGATCCCAGGCGGCAGTCGTTTGAGTCGGTTGCTGGCAAACTCAATGGACTCCAGGTTCTCCAGATTGTCGAACAGATGAGCCGGCATCTCGGCAATGTTGGCCATCAGCTCCAGGGCACTGAGATTATGCAGATCGTTGAGCAGGTTCCCCGGAATATGCGTGGGACGGCGTGAGGTGAACCGCAAACGCTTGAGGTTGTGTAGACGTTCCAAGTGCTGCCGCGTGATGTTCATGCCCAGGTTGTCGCTCTCAAAGATCAGCATCTTGGGCGTGGGTATGCCCAAAAAGTCCAGGATACCGGCAATGGGCGTATGTCCCGGCAACAGGCATCTCTGCATGGTGACCATATCAATCTCACCGATTCTCACCTTCGGCAGCTGCTGATAGTCCGAGGTGTCTGTGAGGTTGCACACGATCGAGACAATGTTCCGGCTGGGTTGGATGTTTAGCCGGAACTTGGGGTTCTCCTCGTTGGCCGGACAATGGATCTCGTACTCTGACATAATGGGTGCACATTGGCAGGACGTGCTCACGCTCAGCTCGTTGCACTCGTCGCGGCCGAAGGATGCCTCCGCGGCTGGCCAATGGACCAGTTGGAGGAGCACCACCAGGAGTAGCAGCGACAGCTCGATAGCTGCTTTAGGTCGCCGCATGATGGATGAATTTTGTGTTGTGTGTTGAGCTTTCCTTTTATTTTATAGGACTGTAAGCAGAAAATTAGAAAAATGTTAATTAACAAGAGGTTATTACTAAAGAACATTTACTAGTGATATATATATATATTTTTTTTAAAACTGTAGTTTAGTTTGGTTTCGCGTTCCCCCTTTTCTCTCATTGAATAGAATTTAATTTATTGTAGCTCTATACTTTCCCCCCGTTACTACTTTCTGTAAATAATAATTGTTTAATTTGAGGAATAGTTGACAGTAGACATTTGTCATTATCATAATGACAAGCCAAAGGCACACAGAAATTTTCGAAATATAAATGAAAAGGCAGCGACTTTGTGGGCGGAGTAGCAACTTTTGAGTAATTATGTGGAAAGTGAAATAAAACTGAATATAAACATTTGCCATTCCTTAATGGAATAACCGTGGAAAATGTGCTCTCATTACGGCTCTCTGGCACAGTGTGTGTGTGTGCTGTGCGTAAAGTAGAGTAAAGTCTTTTGAATGCGGCTTAATCAGGGACAGTTAATTAAGCGCCAGTCAAAAATTTTGACAGCCTGGCAAAAATATTTCATTAGTGGCACACACATACACACGCATACATTGCCCGAAAAATGAATTCAATTTAAATGTGCGGACGCTGCGGGGCGGAAAATCTCGACTCCTGGGCAAGGACACGCTCGCGCACACAAAGCGACACCTACTGGGGTAAAAATATGGCACGAACAGCGGACATACACACACACATCCTTTCGCTCGCTTCCTGGGCCATGTTGCATTTCACGGTTGGCTCACCTCGAAACCACGCCCAGCTTCTGTTCCTCCGTAATCCCCGCCAGAGTCCGTCCAACCGTCTGTGTGGTGTAATTACGGTCAGGGAGTGTATAAAATTTTGTAAAACGCTCTTGCTTGTGCTCGAGCTCGTGCTCCTTGGTCCTTTTCCACTTCCTGTTGCTCCGTGTGGCAAGTGGACATCGGGGCACTTTACGGTCTTTGTGCATTTAATGAATTTGTCATGCGCTCGAGTGCTGCATAATACGAGAGATTTTGGTTGAAGCCTCTCGTCAAGTCCTTGCTCTCAATCTCCGTTCCCCATTGATGTCGTCCTGTCCTCTGCCTCTCAATCCTGATGGTGACAATTTAATTGTGCCCATTACCGAACAATTTGAAGGGAATTCAATTAAAAGTTTCGGCCTCCTAGCTGTCGCTCGTAGTCTTTTTCTCTAAAAATGGCAACTTTAGGCCAGATTGCATTTGTCGCCTCTCTCCTCCCCCCTGGAAGGACTTCTGTAAAAGAAAAAGGACAGACGACGGACGCTTTTGAATGAAATTTTGATAAGGCAATTTAATTATGCGCGCCGTAATTTGATTTTCAAATTGGTGACTTTTCCTCATTAATTAGGACAACTGCCGGACACAATGATGAAATTTCGCCGAGCTTGCCTCGGGCTGTGAAAATTTTGTTATTGATTTTCCTTCTACACCTCCTCAGATGGGTCAGCAAAATGTTTGGAAAATGCCCGTTGAAGCATAAAATCTGCATCTGCTGGACACACTTTAAATATCCTTTGGATTTTTCAACAAAAAGGATTTTAAATTGAATTTCAGCCCATTGATTAGACAGTTTATTTGTTCTGAAAAGTGTTTTGCTATCGAAATATTGTCGAATGCTTATGCTGATAGTTATTGCAAATCGAAGGCATTGTGTTGGCTAAATGTTTTTGCCTGGCCACATCAGATTGCAGATATCGAGTTCAGAGTTGCCTTTAAGCTATAAGATGGCAGGATAGACACGCCGCTGCCTTGGGGCTCGGGTTCATTTCCGAACTCAACACCTTGTTTTTCGTGGCCCAGGATTCGTGTGCCTGGCTTTATGCAAGGCAAAGTAAGTTTCTTCCCCCGTACACTCTGGCAGCTAATGGTGATGCTGCTGCTCCAGGTCCTACTCCTGCTCCTTCCTTCCTTGCTATTTGTGTAGCCGACTTCAATTTCGCATAAAACTTTAAGCACTTTTCACCCAATGAGTCCGACCCTCCCCCTTCCAGAAACTACCTTCTCTTACAAAACGTGCTGTGTTTTGCCTTTTAAATTTCTTAGTCGAGTCAAGTAAAGTGAGAGCCAGTCAGTTACACGGAGAGAAAAAAGATGGATGAGTGTTATATCTCTACGTAATAATGTTTTAGATTTTAAAACCTTTTAATTAGAAAACAAGAAATAAACCAAATTCGGGTCGGTAAGGTTATATCTTACAATTAATTATATGATCGAATCGGAAAACGATCATAACTAAATGGAAGAAATTCGCATTCTTGGAATCAATATTTTTATATGACTATTTTTTCGACAAAATCAAATTTTAAAAGTCTCATAACTAAGCCAAAAAATCATTAATTTTAATTCGAAAATCACTCCTATGTTAGTTTTTAGTAGTTTTATAAATCTGCAAACTCAGTTTTAAATTTAAAAAAATTAAGAATTTTGATAAATTTTTGACAATGATGAAAAAATCAGGAAAAATTTCGAAAATTTATTTTTTGCCCGGACATGCCTAGATCGACTCAGTTTTAGATGCTGATCAAGAATATATATAATTTATAGGGTCGGAAGTGACTCCTAACAGAGTTATAACTCTTTTGACTAACAAGAAAATACCCTTTTCAAGGGTATTAAGTTTAGCTAAATTTCAAGTTGTAATTTCTCTCGGTGCATTTCGTTGGTAAAGCTCGCCAAGTTGGCTATTGTTGTTGCTGCTGCTTCTGGCGCTCTGCCTTAGCTGCTTTTCTTGGCAAGATTTTAAACATTTATATTCACTTAGGAAAATTACTTTTCGCCTTTATGCCACACTGGCCGTGTAAATATCCAGCAACGAGCTGGAACCTGGCTATGTTCAATCCGCAGCATTGATATCCCGAGCGCGTTTTGTTTATGCAATCTAATCTTGGGTTCCTCCCCTTTTGCTTTGTTTGTTGACATCTTGCCTGAAGCGGAACGGGTTCCTGGCCAGGACTAGGACGCAATCAGGCTTGAAGTGTTGCCAGTTCCAGTTCCCCCAAACCTACAAACCTTACCCTCGGCGGGGTCCTGGCAATTAATTGAATCCTGCCCTGGCACCCAATTTAATCCCGCCGGGCAATTAAAAATAATTGCTCATTTTACACACACACATGCCGGGAAATTATGAACACACACAGCATGGTGTGTGTGTGTTCTGCTCGATTTAAAATTTTGTCTTGTTTAATTAGACGCTCGGTGTCGTTAATAAAGGTTAACGAAGTTTTGCCAACGCGCAGATTTTTCACACATTTTCACAGGTCTCACACGAGTCCTGTGGCAGGGCCCCAATACCATCACGTACCTGAAACACATACACAAGTTTACAAAGATTCACAGACATTCCAGTTGAGTGCGCATTTTTGCACTCACATGCTCGCTTCCGGTATGTAACGGTACTAAATTCATTAGGCACACTAAATTACAACCGCAGGCATGGCAGGCATGATGAGGTTGCGCCACAACTCGTGGAACCGGAGCTCCCTTTCACCTTGGATTTTTATTGCCCACCCAAGGAGTACACAATGTGTGAGCCTTCTCCTTTCGAAAAGCGGAACTGCAGGAGGATTCCAAGGAACCACTCAAGGCGCTCCGTGTTGCTTTCTGTCTGATGCTTAATAGTCGTCGCACCGCCCGCAGCGTGCTCGTGGAAAATTGGCTTTCGGGATGCCTGCCTGCCGCAGAGCATTTTATTATTGTCGTGGCAGCCATTAAATGGTTAAGTTTTCTTAATACTCAGCCGGTGGGGATTACGGCAATGCCAAAGCGTTTTAAATGGCGTTGACATATTGTGTGCGCCCTTTAAATGAATTTTTCAATTCCCCAATTTTCATGTGCAGAAGCGATTGCCATGCCAACGTGAAATTGGCAAGGACCAGAGAGCTCCAGAGTTTTCCGCTCACATTCATCAATCAACATGACTAATTACTACAATTCCTGCCAAGATCCAGCTCCTGTTCCTGCTCCTGCTCCAACTTGGCTGCCAAGGCGGAGTGGTAGAAAAAAGCTAAACAAGTTGTTTAACAATTTCTTATTAAAAACTTACAAATGCTCGAGAAAAGTTCTTACACGCATGTGAAGTACAGTCAGCAAGTGGATGGGGCTTTTCTTTACCCATTTTCCAGCTCCTAGGAAACGAAAAGTCTGGCCAAGTGCGGTTTTTGTATCCCTGCCAGTGCACTGGCAATGTTTCATTTTCCTCTCCCCCCATTCCATGTTATGTTACATGTGTGTATGTGTGGGTTGTGTTTGCCAAAGGATTTCAATTCCCCCAAAAACTTTTGCAAGTCTTTTGGCCCCATGTTTCTGGTTTTACAGGCATCGCCTCCAACACTTTGGTGAGCGGCAGCCGAGACATGTTTATATAGCCAGCCAGATGGGCCAATGTATTGCCGAACCGAAGCTTTGAGTAAACATCTGTGTTCGCCATCTCAGGGAGGACCACGAGCATCCAAGCAACCAGCGAACATCACTTCACCCAAGATGTACTCTGGGTGGAGGTGGGCAGGGAGCATGTGAAGAGTCTCTAAGCGGGTCTTAATATCGCCAAATTGGAAACTGTTCAATATATGTATGTGTGATTGGCAATGCGGCAACACAAGCACAACAGCTGCAACATACTTGTATTGCGGTTTCACATATGTACAAATAAAATCTTCTTTATATTTTTAATAATATAATACAATAATTTACTGGTCTTTATTAGTATCTCATATATAATCACAGAATATGATTTATATTTCTAATTAAAATATCAAGAGTTGTGTACAATTCGTGTTTAAATAATCTCCTTAAAGTAAGGTAAAACATCCTGGCTAATTACGTACAAACGTCGCGTTGCAAGGTTAAGACTTCCCTCAGTTGAATACATTAAATCCGCTTTCATTATTTATGGCTCACACTTTCTGCGGATTTTTCTTTTTTGCTTGAAATTTCCAAGGAGGAAAGGAGCACCAAAAGTACTCGAGTCGCTGTGAATTGAAAA